GAAGCACTCAGTGAGCCAGTGTGCCGGGCGTAACTAACCACCATGCCATCTCCTCCATTCTGCTGGCCCCACACATATGCGTTCTCTGTATGGATTACACGGAGAGACTTCTCACTTGTCGCGCAATACATACCAAAATCTACCCTTATTACACACCATTCTTCGCTTGCCGGGCGGCTGGGCAAGTCAAAACAAGACAAGACAAGGTAAGGCAGTGCAAAGCATCAACAAAGGGGGAAAAAAAAACAGACAGACAGAAAACCCCGAAACACCCGGCATTTTTTCTTTATTTCTACCTTCACGCGACACCAGCCGCCTCCTCCGTCGGAGTCAACTCCCTCAGAATGTCCAGGACTGACTGGACGCCGTCCTCGGACGTCCTGGCCAGGCCACACACGGGGGCGACGCCAAACTTGGGCAGGTGGTTCTTCGCCGCTGCGACGCGCTGCTTCGCGCCGTCGAGATCGTCCGGGTACACGAGGCCGAGGTAGACGGCGAGGTTCTTGTCGTGGAGCGCGGCGAGCGGCGCGTAAGGAGCCGGGTCCGTCCACTCGGCCAGACAGCCAAAGTGGATCCACTGGATTTGCCTGGTGGTCTTGTCGACGATGCGGTTCGCCAGTTTGACCATAACGGACATGTCGCGCGGCGCCAGGACGGGCCTGTTGTTGATGTTGCCCATGCAGATGTGCAGGCCGGCGAAGGCTGCGGCGGGGACTTTCGCCATCAGGCCCGCGTACTGGGCGGAGTAGCGCTCCATGGCGTCCTCGTTCGGAGGTGGGTGGAAATCCTCCCTCAGGGAGGCGAGATACGACGACGACGAGTCCTGCTGGGCCTCGTTCTTGATGTAGTCGCTCGCAATGTCGAACTGGACCGCGAGATCCCCCGGCGGGACGGCCGCGACGAGGGCCTCGATCTCGCGCAACATAGCCTGGTACGCGAGATCCTCGACGAGGTACTGGAACGCGGGCTTGACGAAGATGGCGAAGCTCGACATCCCCGGCAAACACACCTGGAAGCGCACACCCGCCTCCAACGCCCCTTCGTCCCTCAACTTACAAAACACCGCGTACGACGCGACCGCGTCCTCGGCGTACCCGAGTTCCCACGAAGCCTGCTCAATCGCGGCACGGAGCCGCGTTACTTCCTCCCCTGCCATCTCTTTCACCGGGACCGGGTCGTAATTCTCATCGTACTCGCGCCAGATCTGCGCGAGGGCCGGGTTCTCCGTCGCCTTCTTCTGGACCAGCCCGATGGTGAAGTTCCACCGCCATCCCGGTTCGCCGTCGGGCATGGACCCGAGACGGCCCTTCAGAGCGGTGGCGCACTTGCAAAATGCCGTCGTGGCGTCCGGGGCTGGGAAACTGCCTACGAGGTGGACGGGCGCGGGTCGGTATGCTGACGCTGACATTTTGTGTGAGGACTCGGTGTGTGTCTGGGAAACAGGAGGAGGTACTGCTTCGGTGCTTCCAGGCTGTGCGGTGCGTGGACCAGGTAATTCACTGATCAGGCCTCATTTGACGAGCAAAGCAAAAATCAATTCTTGGAACTCTCGACTGCCGATTCTGCCATCAGCCAGCCAGCCAGTCAGTCTGTGAAAACGATATAACATGCAGAAAAAAAGGTCCATTTGAGGGATAGAAATCCACGACCCTCTGGGGGGTGTGGCCATTTGCGTACGCGAGTTCGGCGTTTTCCACTATTTGCGGTGTGCTGGCACCTACTCCAGTCCTGGAGAAGAGAAGAGCGGGTACATGCATACATACTTAGGAATATAGTACACGTCAAAGTCGAAGCCATGTGGTGCAGGGTTCTGCATTCATTATTGGGCAGCTTGGCTGTCAGCTGGGCTGGGAGAAGGATGGTGGTGGCCCCATTGAAAGGATTGAAATACCCATGGACTTCCTAGTAAAGAAGGTCTTCTCGCTAGGCGCAGGATGCAGTTCTCGTCTAGGTGTGCACATCTCTACGCTGAATCTCAATGATGGTCATGATCTAGTAATCTGGTCATCGCATCGTCACTCCGTACAAGGACTAAAGATTAACTCCGTTCTATTGATGGGCTTTATGCACCAGGCTCTTCTCCCCTCGGATGTCCCCCTCGCTGCATGATGGGCGAATTCGCCATACGCTCCCAGTCGTGAAGCATCTCCGTGTTCTCCTTGGACAGACGAACCTCCTCGCCTGCGCGGTCCACCATCTCGACCACGTACGCCGCCGCCGCTTCTTCAAAGGTGGTCTCTCCCGCCAGCGCGGCCTTGTACTTGAGGACCAGGCTCCTCGCGTCCGCGATGCCGTGGTTCAAGCCCTGGCCGCGCTGGAAGGTCATGGGGTGAGCCGCGTCGCCGGCGAGCAGGATCCGGCCGCCACGGGTGTCCCAGGGCCGGGGAATCCAGTAGGTCAGGTTGTTGCTGTGGACTTTTGTGCCCTCGGGGATCCACAGGTTGGCGGAGCGGAAGGGCTCACCCATGGTTTCAGCCTTGGCCTTCAGGTTGGCCAGCGACGCCACCTCCTCTCCCTCTTGCTTGTGCCATGTTGTCTGGAGCTGGAAAACCCAGGTTGCGGGGTCATTTGGATCCGGCACCTCTTGGACTAGATGCGTGATGATTAGGTTGTGTGACACAATTGCGGGGGAAAAGGCACAGCAAGCTTACTCGAAATCCATTGCCAATACCCATTCGGATGCATGCCCATGGCCATAATGGGGTGGGCCTGGCGCACGAACCTCGCCTTCTCGGCGTCGTTGTAACACACATGCAAATTGACAGCGGAATAAGGCACGCCGCAGGGTTGGCCGTCTTGTCCAAATATGATGTGTCGCACTTGGGATTGCGCGCCGTCGGCTCCAACCAACGAGGTCCCTGTTGCTTGTGTCCCATCCTCGAAGGTGGCTGTCACTGTCGACTGATCATCATCATATGTGATGTCGACGAGTTTTTTATTGTACTTGAAGATGAACGCAAGGGTGTCAGTTCGTCAAGTAGCAACAGCAACAAATAGACGTAGTGCTGTTCCCCCCAAAAGACTCACCTGGACGTCTATACCCTCGGAGCACAATTTCCTGAACCGTCGACGGGACACGCGATACATGCGCAGCAGCGGAATATTTTTCATCACTTCCCCGGTTTGGCCATTGATGGCGGGCAGATGACCAGGGTCAGGGGGCACAAAGGTCGGATCGACGGCAGCGGTGTAGACTCGGTCGAAGAGGTCTTGGGGGAGACAGTCGGCCAGCATGGGCAAGCCCCATTGCACCGACATACCCCATTCGCGCGGTCGGTAGGCGGTGGCAGAGACTTCGGACTCGAAGATGGAAAACGAGATGCCAATCTAGCGACGAGGCAAACATGTATTCGATTGTCAGTCCTCGGAACAGGCGGTTTGTGTTTGGCCCGCGGGCAATGGTCATGCAGCTCAGATTTGTCTCTATACCTTTTTCAAGCCCTGTGCAATGAGAAGGCCGACGATACCTACATCATCGTGATGATTGTGAAAGTCCGTTAGCTTGTTTCATGGCAGCTGATATAAATGGATGGACAGGGATGTTGCCTTGGGCGATAGGCGGGCCGAGTTTATAAGAGAAGACCGCGTGACGCCAGTAACCCCCAACCATACCTGAGCCTACAATGAGGACGTGAACGGAACTCTTCTGGTCAGTCATCCTGCAGATGTACAAAGGCAAGCACTCTTTTCCATCAATAGATCAGTCCCAGACGTGGAAGGAGAAAACAAAACGAGTGGGGGAGAGGCGGGTACAGGGTGGGAGCGCAGGTTGATTCGAGCAAGACGAGGTTTTTATTCAAATGTGACGAGAGCTCGTTGGGTCAAAGCAGTTGAGAAATTCAGTCATCTGAGTATCTAACTCGTAGCCGATGTCGTGGGGGCGGGCACATTGGACATTGGCATTGGATAGAGACCGAGCATCGTCCAGATTAATTCTGCGTGAGCTGGTAATGGTACGAGTAGGATGGAGAGGGGGTTACAGGGGTGCTGGATTTGGTCTCTGCGAGGGTAATTCGTGATAGCGGTTGGGGGGATGATTGGTGCTTCTGGGAGGAAGAGCTGCATGACACGTCAGCAGGGAGGATATACTTGAACGAAGTAGAGATGTTTCATGCATGAGAGAGGAGATGGAGGAGGAGATACGAGTACATATGAGTTGGATGGATGGAGGGGAATAAGTCGACGGAAAAATACCCCGGGTGCTTCCTGATTTCTCTCCTCTAACTGCAAGGAGAGCAAGTTTAGCGGGCCTAGCGTGTCTAGCGTGTCTAGTTTCGTGGGAGTTGCACAAACAAACAGTCATAGGGCCAGGACTTGGGCGTGCTAGGTGTTCTAGGTATTACTGGACTTCACTGCTGGGTGTCGATCTTGACGCCTAGACCACCTAGACCGCCTAGACTGCCCAGACTGCTCGGGACGGACCCCTGCCGGCCGCCCGGGTTTTAGGGTAGGAGATATTCAACCAATGCCTATGCCCCCTCTCTCGCTATACTTATGCGTACTCTCACAGACACAATGACACAATATTAATGAGCAGCTTAACCTTATAAGCGATGTGGCTACTTCTCCTCCTCTCTTTGTACTATCACCACCACCACCACCACCACCTCTTCCTCCTCCACCACCATCACCATCCTTGCTTATTCACGGAATCATTGTTTCCATCTTGGTCGTCTCCACATCTGGAAATCTGTAACATGAACCACTTTTTAAGCTCCTCATGCATTGTTTTTTCCCCTCTCACTGCATGCATTTTTGAGTGAACCACAAGTTTTATTATCATGGCCGACCAGTCATTTTGCAGTCGCCATGGACCCTTTTTCTCGAGAATGGATCCTGCTCCTTGTGATACTCGTGCAAGTACGACCGACTACTTGACATCTCGAAATGCCGCCTTGGGTGTGGTCGGTCAAATGTTCCTGATCGTCACGTTTTAACCACCCACCATTTTTTTCCGGACACTGAAGGAAGCACAGTCAAATGGTGGCTACTCATGGACCATGTCATCCCCAGGCCATAGCTCTGGTCCCTCTGGTGCCTCGGGAGCCTCTGTGGATCGAACAGCATCCTCCTCCGTGGTCCCGGTCTCGGAGCCACCATTGACAGACCAGCCTCTGTCAGAAGACCCTGGACCCAGCTCATCTTCACACCCTGAGCCTTCCGCGGAGATAAATGCAGACCAGTCCATCGAAGTTGATGTAGGTCTTGGTTTTCCATGTGCCTCCTACCTCTCTCTTAGGGCGCTGTTGCTAATGAACCTTCTCTCATATCAATTCAGAGGTCGGCAGACTTGGACTCCGCCTACGGTGATTCCCTGTACGCAACTCCGAGGAAGCTCAAGGGAAAACAACGACTGATGAGAAACAGACATAGTGATTTGACGTCCTTGGCGTCCAGCATCACCCGAGGTGTCTGGGAATATGGTCGACGATACCATTCTTATGGCCGATCTCGTATGTCACCGCCACGCCAAGTCTAAGTGGAAGTGACACGACGAGCATAATTGACTGATTGCACGCAGAATATGCTTTCCCAAATGACGACGCCGAGGCGGAGAGATTGGACATGCAACATGCCATGCAGACCCATCTGCTAGGCGACCGACTGTTCTGGGCCCCGATCGATCCTAACCCTGCCAGAGTGCTGGATCTCGGAACAGGCACGGGCATCTGGGCGATTGAGTTTGCCGACATGTTCCCCTCTGCCGTCGTCACCGGCACCGATCTGAGTGCCATCCAACCCGACTGGGTCCCTCCGAACTGCAGCTTTGAGATCGACGACGCAGAGGCCGAGTGGACGTGGAACGAAGCCAGCTTTGACTATATCCACAACCGCAATTTTGTCTGCGCAATTCGAGACTGGCCGAAGCTAATTCGCCAATGCTACCAGTACGAATCGCCCCTTTCCGTACATCTCTACTAACCACGCTGATATGCATATATAGATTCGTCAAGCCTGGTGGCTGGGTTGAATGGCACGAAAAACATCCCTACCTCCTCAGCGACGATGGGTCTCTACCAAAAGATTCAGCTCTGTATCAATGGGGTGCCAAATTCTTCGAAGCCAGTACGTCGACAGAAAATTCTTTGATTTTCTGGATTCACACACTTCGTTCTCACGCACAGATCCATTAGGCATCGAATTCGGCACAGACGCTCGCTCGCCTCAGCACCTGAAACGGCTCATGGAAGAAGCAGGCTTCGTCGATGTGCAAGAGCACATTCTCAAACTTCCTGTCGGGCCGTGGGCCAAAGATCAGCGACTCAAAGAGGTGGGCCTGTTCGAGACGGTCAACATGACGGAGGGCATCCAGGGATTGACTATCAAGCTCTTCACAAGGTGTCTGCACTGGACAGCCGCCGAGGTCGAAGCCTTTCTGTTGCAAGTCCGCAAGGACGTCAAGAACCGTGCTATCCACAGCTACTATCATTTGTGAGTACTAGGCAGGCCTTTCTCCTCCAATTCTCTGTATCCTTGTGTCTAGAGGGTAACTAACCGTGAGAAGTTATGTGGTCTTTGGGCGACGGCCGGAGTAGTCTTTGACTATCTACATACTACTGGGTATTGGCTGGACTGGACTTGCCAGGACTTTGGTGGAGAATTGACGTCCATATTGTTAGGTGGTGTCAGGGTTTCTCTCGTACGGCTCACAGGACAAATGCACCTGGCGTTTTCTTCTTTTCTTTTCTTCTCCTGTTCTTCACTTCTCTTTTCTCTACTTATTCCTTTTTTCCCCCATACAGCACCAAGGGGAATTTACTTACTCAAGCAGCCTTGCTCTACTTCTCGAGTGTTGGGTCTATTTATGCGAAGGATGCGGGATCAACAGAATCAGAAACAGTGTCAATCTCAGTCCAAGGTTACTATATGATCACCAAAAGACAAGGAAGCAGACACGCGATGGAAAAGCAGGATGGATGTGGACCGGATACCGACTCACCGGGTCAGGACAGCCTTGCCAACAGACTCTCCTTCCTACATATTGTACTTACCGAGTACGTGTGACATACTTGTATACGAGCAGCACCGTGGGGTTATGACCCTAAAAACAGCACCGATAATAAAGAACACCTTCTCCCTTACAATCTTGGATCAAAGAATGGTAACGCTCGGTAGTCCACATAACCTTGGGGAACCTCCGAGTAGTAACCACTCGGCCCGAGGGACGCGTCCGCGAGTCGTGGCTGTTTAACAGTCCAGTTGACCACACCCCCAGGTCTATCCGCACCGACTCTCATTCATCGCATCGCTGTGCTCTTGTCGTTTTGCGGTCTTCGAGGAATTACTCAGCAGTCATGAAAGCATTTCAATTCGACAACGTGGAAGAAGGCCTCGTTCTGAAGGATGTGCCCACGCCCAAACCTGAATCAGGTGAAGTAATCGTCCGGGTGGAAGCGGCAGGTCTCTGCCATTCCGACACGCATGTCCTACATGGCAAAGGAGCTTCGTGGACGAACAAACGGCCCATAACACTGGGTCATGAAGCCGCAGGTACGGTCGCCGAGGTTGGTCCAGGTGTGACGGAGTGGAAAGTGGGTGACCGGGTTGGAGTGGCTGTTTATCCGACCGACGATGGGGACTCGAGTCATATCATTGGGATCGGGAGAGACGGCGGATACGCTGAGCAGGTCGTGGTCCCTGCGAACGTCCTCGTACCGCTTCCCGACGCGGTCAGCTTCCCCCAGGCGGCTGTGGCAACCGACTCGATCGCAACGGCATACCACGCTGTCATCTCTGAAGGAAAGGTGACGGCGGCGACAACTGTGGCAATCGTCGGGATGGGCGGGCTCGGCCTCAACGGGGTTCGGGTCGCTGCTCTTCAAGGAGCCACCGTCTACGGAGTAGACATTGACGAGAACAAGTTCCCCGAGGGCCTGGCACAAGGCGCCAAGGCATGCTTCTCGAAGCTCTCAGACATCCCTGAAGACATCGTTATTGACGTCGTGGTGGACTATGCCGGCATGGGAGTCACGACCCAAGAGGCGATGCAGAGAGTCAAGCTCTCCGGGACGGTGGTTCTGGTGGGGATCGGCGTGGCGAGCTTCGAATTCTCTTCTCTCACCTTGCTGCTTCGGGGGCTGACCATACGTGGCTCGAAAGGGGCGACCCTGCCCGAATACCTCGAGATCTTGAAGTTGATCGCCGCAGGGAAGATCGTCCCCAAGCTGACCGAAGTCCCGTTTTCGACCGTACCGGAAAGTCTGAAACAGCTCGAGCAGGTTGGCGGGGTCGTTGGGAGGCTGTATACGAGGCCGAACGCGTGATGGGATATGGAGTGCGAATTTCAGTTAGCTAGCTAGATAGCAAGCAAGCAAGCAAGCTTCGTGGGGTAGACATGGCAGTGTCGATAATGATGTCTATCCCCTTGAATACGTCGCACAGTTCAGTGCCTCAGTGTGGAAGGCATCCAGAAGGGGTGAAAAGGGGGGATGACTAAGCATAGCCACAGCGTATTGCCAAGACTTGTGGCTGACGGTTGAACTCGTATCACGTGCCTCCTGATTCCGTATCAATTTTCTGTCTCAATTTCTTCTCGTCATGTTTGTCCTGTGAGCTACAACCGTCGACTTCTCCCAAACGCACGTGGAAGATTCGGCCTCTGGCCTCTGCTGCCTCTCACTTCGGGGGTCCGAAAAACAAATGCCATGACTGATTGGTCCGTGCGATAGTCAGGTGCTTCTTTGCTTTCTTTGATTCTTACGCTTGAAGAGAGGGCCGGCTTCAGCTTCTGATACGTCTCGAGCCCACTTCACGAGCCATGGCTGCCTCACTCGTTGTACCGGGCCAGGTTCTGGCCAGTACATCTTCACACATGCCTGGTTCAGGCACCCACGTCTACGAGAACAACATCCTCGCCTCCATCCTGGGCACGTCAGTGGTTACGCCGGCACCGAATAAGTCGGGCAAGCCGACCATCTCGGTACCCCGTCAAGCGACCGCCGTCGCGTCCATCAATTCACTCCCCAAAGTCGGCTCGTCGGTTCTGTGCCGCGTGACCAGGGTTCGGCAAAGAGAACTCTCGGCGTCCATCCTGGCCATCATCGACCCGTCTTCTCCGTCTCCAGCAATCTCCGCCAGCGACATCATCTCTTACTCCCAACTCACCGACGACGACCTCCAATTCCAGTGCATTCTCCGGCGCGAAGACATCCGGACGCACGAAAAGGACAAGATCGTGATCAACGACATGTACCGCGTCGGCGACATCATCCGCGCCACTGTGATCAGCTTGGGCGACGAGAGGAACTACTACATCAGCACGGCGGGGAATGAGTTTGGCGTCGTGGTGGCCACAAGTGAGGCGGGCAACGCCATGGTACCCGCGAGTTGGAAGGAGATGAAGGATGCCGTGACGGGGAAGGGTGAAAGCCGAAAAGTCGCCAAACCTTCGTGAAAGTCGACTTAACCTCGGATACTACTCCCCCAAGTGACATCCATTTCCCCTGGGCAGACCATATAATGTCGCCTGACCGGGTTTTCTGGTAAATGCTTCAAGCCTCGAAAATGTGCTGCAGGACACATTACCCAGGCTGTGGCAAAGACTCTTGGGCGTCGTCGGCTGTATCTGAGCACAATGCTGACTTCTTTTCTGAGATCAGATGAGGATGGAAGCGCGCATTTCTACCACTGGCGCTCGCAGCACAAAAGCAAATGCAGCTCAGAGTGTGTACGCAAACGCGAATCTCAATCCCCCTTTTCCGGGATCTTGTCTCGCTCCACCTCTTGAGACAGAGGTACCGGGTGTACTAGCGAGACTGAAAATTGAAACGCGCTGGGCCATCCACAGCCAACAAAAGCCTCAGGATCGTTAATTGGCAGATAGGGTGGAGCGAAAGACAAGACTCGAGAAGCTGACAGGCCTTTCGGCCTCTCTTCGGCCTACCACCCCTGGGTCAGCCAGCACAGAAGCCGAGACACTGTATCGAACGAGAGGGAGATAGAAACGCGAGGACAGTTGTGACCAGACTACATACGACGAGGGAAAATATCCTTTCGTCCAACCTTTGCGCCTGACATCCGGACGAAGGCTCGAACTCCAACTCCCTCCTAACCTCAACCTCGACCATACCATACCCTAGGTGCGACCTCGAAGTCGAACCATCCTTGAAATCAATCCATCTTCGACTTCAAGCACACCTCTCTACGCTCTTCACTGCTATCCTATGCGTGTGTGCCCTGCGAGCAAACCAAGAGGGCGAGGGCGAGTGAGCGAATGAGGGAGCCCAACTGTGAAATACATGAAACCCTTTTCATCAAAACCACCTTCCCATACATGCCTTCTCCAGGCAGATATGCAGCAAATCTCCGTCGTCTTCTTCAGAGCCTGCCCTGTCCGACCCGGCCATGCGTCGTGGTCCACCTCACCCATACCCATACCCATACCTATGTCCCATACCCCCCAAATTCTTCCCTTTCCCTTCCCTTTTTTCTACAGTACAGTACAGTACAGTACATTCCAGTCCAGTACACTGCAATACCTCTCTAGTATCCATGGTCACGACCCCCCCTAAACAAAAGGGTCCATGTCAGACTGTGTTCGTCACGGGAGGAATATCAAATTCAACAGAATCTCCTCCCATCATCCAGGTCCGCCATCCTTTTGATATCATATCATATCATATCATGCTTTTGGGTGTGTTTTCGGAAAGAATATCAACGGGGAGGAGACATCTACCTCACATCAATCACAAGTGCCTGTCAATATGAAGTACTTATCAGATGAACGTGCCCTGGAGAAAACCAGACCCCCCTTTTCCAGTCCATCAGTGCCAAAGGTGTACAATTAATGCATTGAGGCTAGAATGAAATGGCGTTAACCTGCCCGTGCTTCGCCTTCGCTTCACTTTCGTCTGTTCTTGCTTCCATAAGGACAAACAACGAAAGTCCTGCAGCAGAATCTCCCATCAAAAAAATAAAAGGTATCGCCGTCGCAATACCTACAGTATTCCCTTTCCCACCAGAAACCCCCTATTCTCTTTCTCCGGCAAGCAGTGACAATTAGACCCCTCAACGCCTCGCTATGCTTCCTGCACACTGCGAGGCACAACTTTGTGTGCCCATACCCAGTGACGGCCCTTTTCGTTGCAATTCCATGTAAAAGGGGTATATGATAATATCAAGAGGTCTTGAACAAAGAAAAACCCCCCGCCGCTCGCTTTCAACCTTCCACCAACGTCTGCTTGGGCCCTTTACCAAGCAATTCCAAAGATCTTTGAGCAAGAGCAATCACCTCGCCCTCGCCCTCTTCGCCTTCCTCATCGTCGGACTCAACGTGCTTGTCGGCGATCGTCTTGACCATCTGAATTATGTCCTCTGATTTGGCCACCAAGCTGACTAGCTTCGTGTCATCAGATTCCAGCAGCTGCAGCAACGTCCAAATTGCAATATGTTGAAATGTGGGATCACCACTGCACAAGAAACGCTTGAGATAGCCGTGGATGCCACCGTTTGGCTCGGTCCAATCGCGAACGAAAATCGAATAATCGCCAACCTTGGAAGACAGATTTCCCAGCGCCGCGGCACTGTTTCCCTGAACCTCAATACTTTCCGAATCCGTCAGAGGAATCAAGACGTCGAAGACTCCCATGTTGAGCAGATGTGTCTTGAGCTCGTCGCTCAATGCCAATACGGCGATACAGGCCGTCATCTCAGACTGTACGCTCAATGGTACATGCAGAACAAGCTCCTTACATTTCTGCACTGCTCCGGCCTCCAAGACGAGCTGTTTGTTCCGATCCGAGCTTGCAGCAAGGTTCCGTAAAGTCGATATAGCATGGCATTGAATCTCCTCGTTCTCGGTGGAGCCCAATAGGTCGACCAGAGGTTTGAGAAAGCCGGCATCAATGATGGGCGATTCATTGAGAGGGTGAATCGAAATATTGCGGATACAGGCGACAGCGGAGAGGATAAGGGGTAGGTATGAAGATTGAAGGAGACGGAGCAGTGGGTGCAAGCCTCTAGCTCGAACAATCTCCAATTGGTACTTTTCATCTGATGCCAAGTTTCGCAGAGCCAATGCCGCCTGGCACTGAACTTTGGGCGTTCCTGAATCCATCAGCTGGACCAGTGATTGGACAAGGCGTGGTTCGGTCTGCGCGAGTTTCTTTCTGTTGGACGCGTCGACAGCGATGTTGCTGAGAGCCGTAGTGCAGTAATATTGGACGTCCATGTCAGGCGACTGAAGCAGTTGGACAAGCACTGGAATGGCTCCTGCATTGACGAGCTGTTGTCTGTTGTCCTCTGGTGATCGTTAGCATGATGTTGACTGTGACATTGCTTGGTTTTTCCCTACCAGAGTGTGTCATGTTGAGCAAAGCGCCAGTTGCATTCCTCTGGACTCGCATATCTTTTGACTTTGCCAGTCTCGTCAATGGACCTAGAGCGCCTGACCTTGCGATTTTGGCCTTGTTATCTTCATACGTCGCCAGATTTGTGATGCACCCAACAGCATTGCACTGGACCTCGACATTATTAGACATCATCTGCCGAATAAGGGGAGGTAATCCGCCGAGCTGGACGATAGCGACCTTGTTTTCGGCTATAACAGGTCAGCTCAAGGTATTCCACGGGGGCCGTTGGGGGGACCGTACGATTCACAGCCAGGTTGCCCAAAGCTGCACTGGCAGCTCGTTGTACCTCAATATCGGGATTCTGCAGGAGAAAGAGGATGGGTTCTAGTGTGTCTCGATCGACCTCTCTCACATCTGCAAAAGCAGTTAGTTTTGTCTCGCGTTGCGCATCTCTTGTAAACATACCTCGCTCCGTGATCTCGGCAAATGTCAAGCTGGCACTCCGCTGTAGATCAACATTGTCCGAATAAACAAGAGTGCTCAATGCTCGTAACGGTTCTCCAGAAAAGAAATCTGTCTCTCCTCGCTGTAGTCTGTCAGAGTGCAACTCTTCACAACGAAGTGGATCTCGAACGTACATTCTCGAGGTATTGTAGCAGGTCCGCAACGGCTTCTCGTTCGCTGTCTGCGAGGGCGGGTTCGTAGAGGTTATCCTTATTCCGACCTGTGAGGGCAGAGGTTAGTCAGTGTCCAGACATGTTCGAAGTATACAGCTGAGACAGACCTTGGCAGTTCTTACAGCAAGCCGATAGTACGTTGCCCATCTCGAGGCGTGGACCCCGAGGGGTACGAATTAATCGAGAGTGGTTCTGTTGGACAAGGGAATCGCGACGGGGCGGGAGTGTGTGCTGATGTTGCAGCTGGGTGATGGAGAGGTTGGATGTGAAAGGCTCATCTGATGGTCATGCTGATGCCGACTGTGATGCAGTTTTCGAACGATGCTGGCGAGGCTCCCGATATCTGTTATGGTAAGATGAGGAAAGCTTCAGAAACTCGGCTCGGATTCGCTGACGCAGTCAATGCTGCAGCAACAGGCACTGCGGCGTCACTGCGTGACCTGCAGTTGCAGTTTCAGTTTCAGCACAAGAAGTCTCGCGTGCAGGCAGGAGCAATTAAGACGAGGAAGTCGTCCCAAGTATGTGGCGTGTGACCTAGTGTCAATGAGCGAGCAAGTCGCAGGTGGGATGGGCAATTGGTAGTGGTGTGAAGGTGGTCAACATGGAGTTTTGGGCGGAAGTGCACGAGTTGAGGAAGCTGCAGACGCAGCGTGCCGCTGTGCGGGTGGTTTAGCGCATGTTGGGTGAGCCTGGGACGACTATTGGCGCAGCGCCGCGTAGGCTTCGTACGGGTACAAGGAACACATATGGGCGGACGCTGTTAGGCTGGTGCCGCCGATGTGGATGCCCCCGGAACTCGAGGAGAGCCAACCGCTTACATGCTCAATCCGATACTTTCCTACCACTACAACATCTACCCCTGCAGCCTCGCATTCATTCTCTGCAGAATAATACTCGTACAGAAGTCGTCCGAACAATTCCTCGCTTTGACCGAGGCTCATCGACATCAGAGTCAGCCACAGTACTGCGATGCAAAGTGCACCATCCCCTCGTCTGACTTCAAACAGAACTCCTACGACGTGCCCAAATACCCGCGAATCATTTCAGACCACAATGCCGATGTGGCTTTTCACATGCTTCCGACGTCATCGATTAGGGAGAAAAGACCAAAATTTTTGTAGAGTACGCAGGGAACACAAAGAGCGGGAAAACACGTTGGTCATTAAGTGTTGGACTATATGTATCATTCTTCGCTATTCGGGGTGCCTGTTCTGCCAGGCTGTCACGTATACTGCGCCATTTCCTTCCACTTCCTTTCGCGAAATGCAAAGTCACTTTGCAACCAGCCAATCACGGCACCGCCATAACTCCATACATGAAAGCGGCCATGTTGTTCGCCGTAAACTTATAGAACTGAGGAGATTCGTTGCTTTTGTGGCATCTATGCCTTTGATGTCTCGTCTCTGACCTCGGCCGGTGCGTGCTTGCGTCCAAAGAGCGTGCCTTTCTGAATGACTGGCGAGTAGATACCTGCCGGGGTCAACGTCTCGGTAGTTGGTCGAAGCTGATCAAGGGCGTTCTTGATGGTGGACTTGATCCTCTGCGATGTCTTTGAGGACTTGCTGGCGGTGGATTCTTGGGAGACACGACGAGATGATGTTGCCGAGCTGTTCTTCTCGGCTTGGGTGAGGTTGTAGTATCCAGCGTAAAGCATATTGATTGGTGTATGTGGAATGTCTTTGTGTAGTTGGGTGGATGTCGATTGATGTGGTATATAGCTAGGTTGAATAGATATGTGTGTCACACGTATGTATGTCTATTCTTTCAATTCCTCTGACTAGAGATTGTTTCACCCACTTTCGAGCAGTCGACACACGGGGTTTATATAGGTAGCATTGGACACCCTCACAACAGCAAAATTTCTCAACGACTCACCTGCCGTAATAGAGGGCTACGGGCCACCCAAGGGGGGGATTTCATCATCTACCCACACAACCACGCTCTTTGTTTCGACAAAAAACCCAACAAGTCGTCTGGGAGATCAGAACAGTGTCAAAGACCACGCCCCATCACCAATAATGATCAATGTTGAATACGCCCTTGGAGAACATGAGTGACCCAGGGCGTGTGCGGTTGTCGTTAGCGGAAATCCATGTGTCAACAGGACCAAAGGCGCGTGTGAACCTGCTTTTAGAGGATTTCAGTTTGTCATGCCCGCCCCCGGCCAGTCACAGGCCTGAAAATTTCTCTGACGGTGTCTGTAAAAATTCTGCTTAACTAAGCACTTAGGGGGAAAGCGTCTGTGGGCCAGTCGGAGGACGTGGAGCAACGCGTCAAGGGCCTTTAGCAAAACGGCACGTCCCAGTGGCGGCAATGACGATGTGAGGTGGCTTGGCTGGGAATTGCGCCCTTGTTGTTGTCTCATCCCTTTACCAAAGCAGATACAATACGACGTCTGGGCAGTTGGTGGGCAGACTGCTTCCTGGGCGTGATGTGTAATGATGCAACTATGCTACCATCTGCTTGGGTTTTCGCAGCGGTACTGATGTCCACCGACTTTACAAGCGGACAATCATCTCTTCATTTATCCAGCACAAGACTTCTAGAACCTGGATTCACCCTACCCACAGATGAAAGCTGAGCTCAACCAACTTTGAGCCTTCCCTGCTGCTATGTGTTTCACAAGAGCTATATTACAACAAGGTCTCCCTTACCCGACCTGACCACAGCCAGGAGGAATGCTGGTGATAAAAACAAGTTCCTGACGGAGGACATCCGCCTTCATCAAGGAAACAAACTGCGTTACGCCTCGTTGATCCTGCTGGGTTCGCCCCAGATTTCGGATCCAATAGTTCCGGGGTTCTCACTTTGGATCTGACGACACAGTCGGCCACGTTGTGTGAGACATCAGCGGCTGACGGATTGCGGAGAGTTGACCATGTTGATCGGGTAGCAGTTTTGCTTGCTCCTCATCTATCCGAGGATGGAAATATGCAAGACCTCGCAAGACCCGAGTAACAAGTGCCTCCTTACCGTAGCCGTGCGCATACAAAGGGACAAGAAGCTGACCGAAACTCCATAGATTGTTTGAGAGTGCAGAGCATTAAGATACCCACCCGCGACCAGCCACAAGGTGATAGAAAGGTTGCGCATAATACAAATCACGGGACGACGAGGCTCAATACCTTCTGCGTTGTCTGGGATCGTCATACCCGTCGTTCTCGTGGTGTCGTTTTCTCGAGCCGTAGTCGTCTTCTCGTCTGCTGCTTCCGTATCGATCACGTTCTCGGTCTCGATCGCGGTCTCGGTCACGGTCTCGATCTCGGTCACGGTCGCGGTCACGATCTCTGTCTCGATTGTCATATCCACGATCTCGTCCTCCGAGCGGATCGGTGTTGCTGCCGGTTGCGCCGCGTTGGTCCCTTCCACCACCATATCCATTGCGTCGGTCGTCATAGCCTCCGCCATAGCCGCCTCTCCCACCGGGCCCGCTGGGTGCATTGGGGGGCGGAGGTCCATTCTGGTAACCTTGTCGTCCGCCAAAGCCTCCCCCTCCTTGATACCCAATGCCACCTCGCCCACCAAAGCCCCCTCGGTCGCCGCGGAAACCACCACCGCGGAAGCCACCACGACCGCCAAAGCCACCTCTGAACCCGCCACCATACCCACCCGGCGGTCCGAATGTAGGCTTTGCAGGGGCTTGCTTGGTATATCCTCGTCCACCAAGACCGCCGCCAAATCTCCTAGGTCTCCAACCCGGGACCATGCGGCCACGTTCAACATCGACAACGACTCTCCGGTCTTTGATGCGGAGACCATCTGTTTCTTTGTAGGCAGCTGTAAAATTGTAAGGGATCTCGAGGTCAGTTCCAGCACATCTTACCATTGAATATTTGGTGTGAAAAGAAGGGTCAAGGGCAGAAGGGTTTGCGTAGAAGAAAGTACCTCTCATATCCTTTTCTCTTTCATAGACAATGAAAGCATACCCTCTGTGTGGCTTCTTGGGTTTGGGGGTTGTCTCATCCTTGACGATCCTGATTCTTTCGATGGGACCAAACCTGCCGAACTCACGCTCCAGGTCTGCTTCTTTTGCATCATAGCTCAAGCGGCCGACGAACAGTGTCTTGACGGCGTCGCCCTTGATCTTTGGATCTTCATTTGGTCTGTAGCCTTGAAAGTCGGGTTGTTCGATCTCTTGCTGGCGCAGTTTCTTCTCGAGTCTCTTGCGATCGCGCTGCTGCAGCCATGACTCGGTCGCTTCGTACACATCGGTCGCCTTGTACTCCTCTAGCTGCGGAAGAAATGCGGCTATCCCAGATAGCTGAGATTTCTTGAGAGCTTTCTCTTCTGGGGCCGAGTCTTGAGGAGGGATGTAGCGGAGGGGAGGTCGGGGTTGGAATAGAGCAAGGAGATTGGGAGGCAGTTTGTCCGTCATCTTGGTGCAACGCCGGAAGAAGGTTTTTTGAGGGATGCACGAGAGTCATCAATACGCAAAGGAAAAGAAGAGAAAAGAACACAAATGCGCCAGTCTTGAATAAAACTACAGAGGCAGTGGTGAAGGAAGCGAAGGATATGTAGACAAAGGGTTGAAGATAGCTGACTTCACAGCGCGTTCGATGCGGAAAATGAAATTGTTGTTCCCTGAACTGCCCAAGGGGAAGAAGCCGGCTAAACCCAAGAACGGTTTAGTGCCACTTCAATATTCAAACAGCCTCACTCCACTGCTCTGTTGAGGCAGGACGACCAGATATTTCTTATACTGCATGATATGGTACATCGCTTTTTACTATATGAAGTGTTTTGATATTGGTGCAAGCTCTGGTATGATGGTCCGATGTTCCGCCGCCACATGCAATTCTGAGCATGTGTTGAGCACTAATTCGGCATTTACGAGGATTGGATACTCGCGCAAGACATCCAGGGTATATGTAAACACCTCTAACAGAGACGATGGGAGTTGAACTGTCGATATAGCAGGCAACCATCTGCTTGCTTGGATATCTACCTCCGTAGTGACGAATGCGGATAAGTGCACCGCCACGATCACGTGATACATTAGACGCTAATGCGCCACCGTTGCCACAGCCGCCCCACCTCGTCTTCGCTTCTTCGACAGACGAGGGAAACGTATTCGTATCCTGGACATTGATCCAACTCACTTCCCTCTCCCTCAATATTTATAGACTCTTCTCCACAGCAAAATAATGAAAACAGCCCTGCAGATCGCCTTGCGTACCTTGGCAGACATCACATAGAGAAAACTCCCAAAAATATCGTCAAGAACATCTTGCCATGAGGGATGAGGTGCTGCTATTTGTCGCAGAATCATCCTGATCGAGATTAACTCGACAGCTGAGTTCAACTATCCTGGGTGCATCGGCAAATGATCACTGGCCTCCGTCACAGAAGATTCGCATGCCATCCAGGCAACTGCTTTTAATGCTATTGAGTAGAGATGGCAGTCGAGGGACTCTGTACAAAAGCCATTTCCTGACCATCGTCCCCGAGGAGTAACTCATCATCTTCTCTTTTGTTGCACTTCTCATCATTAGGCATTCGAGCAAGATGATGTACAGCGTTCGCCTCACACTATGCTGCATTCTATTCCTTGCTGGCACGCTTCAAGCAACCCCGCAGCAATACTGCAAGCCCGTTGTAGGTTCCCCCGGATGGCCGTCAATCTCTGACTGGCACGCTTTGAACGAGTCTATCTCGGGTCGCCTCATCGCGCCAGTGCCCCCAGGACTGGTTTGTCAAACCAACAGTTCGTCGTACAGCGCACAGGCCTGTGGTCAATTGCTTGCACAGTGGACCAATTCATCCTTTCATGCTGAAGACCCCTTCACAACCAACTACAACGACGACTCTTGCCTTCCTGATCCTCGCGCGCCATGTTCCACGGCTCCTCTCCCAGCTTATGTAGTCAATGCCACCAATACGGCCGATGTCCAAGCCGCCTGCCAATTCGCTTACAAGACCGGGGTTAGGCTCATCGTCAAAGGAACCGGCCATGACTTTCTGGGACGGTACACGCCCTAATGACCTGTCCATGGTGGCTTCAAAACACTGACGTTGTGAACAGATCATCTGGCCGAAGCTCTCTCTCAGTCTGGACACATAACATCCGTGGCATCAATGTCACGATGGAAGATCTTCGAGCCAAGCGGTATGGCGGGGTTGCTTCGGTCAAGATTGCCGCGGGCATGCGCTTTGGCGAAATCTACCAAGCGGTTTCCTCATACAATCTCACCTTAGTTGGTGGCGCGGATCCCAACGTGGGCATTGGTGGCTGGGTTACTGGAGGTGGACATTCCCCGATCAGCGCCGTCTACGGCCTTGGGGCGGACCAAGTCCTTGAGATGGAGGTGGTCACCGCCAACGGCACACACCTGACTATTAACGAGGATGCCTACCCTGACCTCTTCTGGGCGATGCGAGGAGTAAGTTTTTCTTGCTGGCTCATATGGCTGACCAACGGAAGATCTGACTCTCAATGTTCTTGTCTAGGGCGGCGGTTCTACTTTCGCAGTCCTCTTGTCCGTCACGGTCCGAGCATATCCTGTGCTACCGACGGCGGTTTATTCGTTCAGCTACAACACCACTGCAAACAGTGACACATTCTGGTCTCTAGTGGCATACTTCCACAACCAGCTGCCCGATATCTCAGACGCCGGAGTCATGGGCTACTATTTTATCGTGCCCAACAACAGCGCCGCACAGCCTGACCCGATCCGCATGGGCTCGGTTGTCGGCTTCTGGTTCGTTCCGAACAAGACTGTCGAAGAAACCCAGCAGATCTTGACGCCTTTGGAAGAGCGTCTTCGGAACAACACATACAACTGGACTGACACGGTGTTTGTGGATAGCATAGCTGTACCCGTTGAGGACTTTACCAAATTCTGGCTCACCTACGGCGCTGCCCAGAGTGTTGGATCAGAAGTCCGGCTAGGGTCTCGCCTGTTGGACAAGGCCGCTCTCAAGACCGACCCGGCAAAGTTGAAAAAGCTCTTCAAGCAGACGACCTCTAACCCGCAGTATTCGATCCTGGGCCACGTCGTGGCAGGCAAGGGTGTGAAGACCGTCAAGAACGGGATCCCCGGAGGGAATAACTCGGTTCTGCCCGCGTGGCGCGACGCATACACACATATTGTACTCCCGCGATCATGGGCGTTCCTCAATGAGACGGCAAAGGTCGCTACGACCACACACCTCCGTGAGGACGAGACCGAGGCCCTCCGCGAACTGGCGCCCAACACGGGAGCGTACGTCAACGAAGCAGACCCGACGGAACCGAACTGGCAAAAGACCTTTTGGGGATCAAACTACCCGAGGCTGCTGCAGCTGAAGCAGAACTGGGACCCCAAGGGCGTGTTTTGGTGTGTGCCCTGCGTGGGTCACAAGGACGGTTGGGAGGTCGTTAGTGACGTTGGTGTCGAGGGCGCGGTGGGCGAGTCCCCAGGGAGGATTTGTCGGACTTTATGAGATGTCGCAGCTTATTCTGGAGAGGGAGATTTAGTCCTCCTCTTGAGATAAGATCAAGACGGCTCGAAGAAGGAATGGGCACCATAGTTGGGATGCTGGTACTTAAGGCACGATGAGTGGGACGGAATGCTGCGTGCAGGAAGAGGTCAACGCACCACGCCCCGGTATCTTTGACGCAAAGTAATCTCATAAATCTAAACATCTAATGCGAACACTTGGACTAATATCGCATCTGTTAATCATCCCATTACTGTACCTTGCTTCTGTCTATGCGCAAGAGGGGCTCGGGGGTAAGTGCTCGTCATGCATTCCTTCATCGGCTACGAGGCTGTCAAGGCTGAGCTTCTCCTGATAAGGCTAGCGACAAAGCCTCGCGTAGCTGCGCCGTTCGCCGTTCGCGAAATTCATTCGGGCGCAGCTTTCTTCAGCTTTTCCAACTGCGAAACTCTACCCAACACCCGGATTATTTGTACTCACCTCCATCCACGGACGACTTCTGGAGGGAAGCGGCTGCACACAATCCTTTGCATCTCAAGCCATGGGTGTGCAAGGGCTCAAGACCGTGTCTACGGCACGGGTAAGTTTCTTTTTTGTCACGCAGTTTTCCTCTCTCCCAGTTCCCAGTCCATCGTGAGATTCCCTGGTTGCTAGCTCTCCATTTTACAAAGAGAAGGAGAAGAAGAAAGCCACTCTCTCATCCATATGCCCCCCAACCCCGACAGGCCTTTCATACTCCGCCATTACCATGGAAACCGTTCACTGACACATTCGCACACAAAACAGAACGGCTTAGGCGCCTACATCCTGCAATGCACGCGGCTGCACCTGACGTACTCGGACCACTGGGCCTCGTCGACGGGGCTCAAGTCGCTGCTCGCGTCGCCGGCCTTCTCGTCGCTCACGCACCGGTACCCGAGCGTCGAGTTCCGGATCTCGCCGCGCCCGAACCGCCACCCGGTCATCAAGGCGCAGTACTGCAACGGGCGGTCCAAGGCCATCTGCGTGAAGAACATGGCCCGCGAACAGGTCCTGGAGAAGGCCGAGTTCCTGCTCGGCAACTCGGGCGACAAGAACGTCGTGGTCAAGGGCAAAAAGGTCGTCAGCTCCAACGAGGGCGTCAGGGGCATGTGGAGTCCTATGCACGGAGGGATCAAAAAGATTTGAGCCCTTTCTGGACCATACATGTTGCTTGGGACTTGGGACAATCGAGGCTTCTTTGAGCTTTGAAGATTTTTTTGCAGCTCACTAGAGGGCTTGAAAGAGGGGCGGCACACGTCTTGAGATCTTGGTGGGAAATGGGACTTCGAAAACCCTTCCTGGCGTCTCCTTGAAAGGGTGTGAAAGAGACGGAAGGGACGAGGTTCTCAGCGGCTGGGCACAAGCGGACGCATTCGAGCGTGAGATCACGCACCCTTGGGGCCAGCGTGTGAATCCAGGGAAATGAAGAGGGAAGCCCATTCATTACATTGGCAAAGCGGCTGGAAGGCTCCCTGGCCTCCCTCCATCCGGTCCACTGAGCCAGTGGGCAATCAATCGTTCGAAGAAGCAAAACGAGCTTATCCTCGAGCGGGCGACGAAACCGTTCTGGGCCTGGCGACACCTTGAAGCCCGTCGTGACGTTCCGGAAGCCCAAATCCATACCGGGCACCCGAAAGACGTTTTGAGACCTCTGCGGGTGAGATCCGGCCCAAGCTATACGCACACCGCTTGCCGCAAGTGGCACGACAACGCCCATGTCCCTGGAAGAAGCTCGAACAAGCTGCTTTCTGCTCAAACGAATATGATTCCGTGGTCGAAGAACCTGCGACGACGCATTGGGACGTTGGCTACTTAACATCACTCGATCTGCAATATGTGTACAATAGTTACAATTGAGTTCAACAGCATCAGAAGCGTGCTGCGGCTGATTCGACTGGAATATCTATGCATCATCCTCCATCGTGAGCGCGAAATTCCCCTTAACAAATATAACTCCCCGATTCTTGAATTAAAAAGGTTCATTTCTTCGTTGGCTGGATCGATGTCTGACTGCATCTGCAATCAAGTGGTCCGGATGATCAAACCAATCCTTGGTGTGGGCTCAGAGATAGATAGGAAACATGGCAGCCTTGCTAACAACCTTGGTGTTGCAGCCGTCGACACTGCAGACGGTGAACGGAATCGATCTGGTTGATTCCAGCTTCTTTTCGGGCTCTTTGCCTTTGCCTTTCTTTGATACTTTCGACTTGGATCGGTTGACGGCACATTCGCCACAGTAGACCTAAAAGATTCGTTAGGACAATAAAACATCCGGGGCGATTTCAAAGCCACTTACATGCCCACAGTTTTTCACAACCCAGACCTGCTTTTTAACATCTCCTTTCCCAACCGCTAGTTCGTCACCGCACATGGGACAGAGGATGACATCCTCCTCTCCGAAGGTCCTGATAAACCCTTCTTTGGCCGTTGGGGGCCCTTTGTAAGGCTCGGGCACTTCTTGAGGTGTTTCAGAGCTGCGATCAAAGACATCGAAATCAAGAGGAAACGCGGGTTGTCTGTAATCCATGTTGATGATGTAAGAAGCATCGCCACCGTCGTTCCCATGCCGTCCATCATGACCACGAGGCGGAACTCCGTCTAAGCGATCCAGGAACCCATCACCGTAGCCAGGGGCGACGTGCTGCATGTTCCCGAACATGAATTGTGTTCCCCTCCTCAGGATGTCTAGAGATAATCCCAGTGGACCTCTTTCCAAGCGAGGACGAGGGGGGTTGTTCCCGACATTAGTCTGGACTGCAGCCTCCTGACGTTGGGGCTGGGGCACACGCCTCTCTTCAACAAATTCGACTTCTGGACTTGGACTTGGAGAAAGGGAGGCGACCGAGTCAGTGTCGAGCGTTTCCGTGTCCACCGGTATGTCAAAGTCATCTATTTCAAAATCCGACTCGTCCGTGTCTGAAAGATTGATTATCTCGTGTGGTACATCCTGTGTTCTCGGGCCAAAAGGGGGGGCACGGGTGGGTAGTTCTCGGTGCGGCTCTGCAAGTTCCTGTTGCCTCTGTGCAGGTTCTGGGCGTCTCTGTACATGAGGTTCATGCTGTCGTTGCCTTCGTGTACTTTCGCCTCGATTCCGTGCGGTAGCTTCTCTTAATCGCGCGAATTCCCGCTGGTGTTGGGCTAGGTGCTGTTGAGCTACCTGTTGTGACTGTGCTAGTGTCATCCATGCGCTAACGAGCAGTTGTCGCGGTGGTCGTTGAGAGGGCTGACTAGACGCTTGCCTCGAGAGTTGATGTGGAGAGGATTCCGAGGCAGTGGAAATGTCATCGCTGTCACTTTCCGCTGTGAGATCGATCGTAAAATCGTGAGGGGCAGGGGTTGTAGTTGCTCTGGGGGCCTGTGTGGACATGGCTGGCGTCCGGTAGTCGAAACCGTCGCCTTGAAACCGTATTCTTCCTTCTGGGTGTTGTGGTGTCGAGTCCCGAGAACGCTCAGGTGTTGGACGATAGTTGATGCGGCGGCGCTTGGAGGGCACCTGGTCGGGGGTAGCACTTCGACTTTGTGATCGGGTTATTTCTGCATGAGATCTCTGTGACTGCGGTTAGATGGTGATTGTACCACTTAATAATATGTGTGTATGTTTGAACGTGGATGACATTCTGAGAGAGCGAGAGGGGGAGCCGAGATCCTACCTTTCGACTGGATGAGGCCGATGCCGAATTCAGGAAGTTGCTCAGAGCGAGAGTGCCTGCAGGAGGCATGATCAAGGCACCTGTGAAGGCAGGCTATGGTCCTCGAATCGACAATGTCATAAGGGCAAGTTGTTTGAGAAGGTCAGGGCGCAGTTGTTGAGAAGGCAAGGAGGTGAAGTGAGGTACGATTTGGGATTGTCGTCTGGGCACCAACGGAAAAACCCTCGCTAACCAACAGCCAGTGAAGTGGAAACAATGGGCCGACCAGAAGTTGACACCGGGATGGATGCCGGTATGACAGGCGAGCGCGACTTGACAGATAGGCCAGGGGATGATTAATAAAAGGGAAGACTGAGGAAGAAGTGAGAAGAGGGCAAATGCCAGCCTTGAAAATGGCCACCTGCGCTTTCTTTGTTCTGATGGTTTGGTGGTTCCTGGTGGCCCTGATGAATTGTTGTTTGGTTTCCCGCTGCGCTTGTCGCAGATCATTTGCCACTGCCGCGAAGGACCTTTCGACGCTCTTAAGGCCGCTGATAAATCCGCCTGCGACTGTAATAAGAGAATATCACCACCACTAACACCACCGACAAGCCCTACAAGCTGGGTCCATTGTATTTGTTTGTACATATCATCGCCAGATGATAAAAACGCCATCTGTCGACGCAACTTGCATTCCATTTTGGTGTGACACTGGTCTTTTCTTTTCCTATTTCTTTTGTCCCTTCAAATCGCAGCAACATAACCAGGAAACCCCCGCAGGTGCCGCTGTGTGCAGCTCACATCAGTTATGGGTATCAACGCTGCTTTCCATCCCTCCATGACAGTATACAAATGGCGCAGAACCGTTTATCCCTCCGTCGCCGCCGCCAGGGTGGTAATCGCACCGTCTTCATTGAGAGTGAGAAGACTCTGGGCATGTTTGCCCCATGCAATCCGTGTCGCCGGGGTGCCTCGCTTCAGGATTTCGGTCCATTCTTTTGACGCCTTGGAGTAGTGTTCGACCGTAACTCCATCTTGTCCAGCCACTCCCAAGAACTGTCCAGTGTAGTCCCAGCTGATGGATTCAATCTGACTGCCCGTCTCAATAGTTGTGACTTCGGTCGCTTTTCTCAGGTCCCAGATCGAGATGGTCGATGACTTCTCCGTCACACCCGCCAGCCAGATACCATTCTCCGAGAAGAAGATGCATCGCACAGGGCCGCCAAGGTCGAAAGTAGCAGCTTCTGCACCAGACTTGACGTCGAATATCTTAATTTGGCCGTCGGCACCACCGGCCGCCAATAAATGGCCGTCAGGGTGGAATTGAGCACAGCGAAGACCTGAATCAAGTAAGCACGCAGCCGAGTAAGAGCGAGGGGAAATTGCGAGGGGACATACTGGAGTTGCTCGAAACCTGAGTGAGAACCCGACTGGATTCAAGGTCATAGAGAATATATGTCCTGTCCTCTCCGACAGAAGCCAGAATGGTGCCACTGGGATGCAGAGCCACCGCATTGGTGCGTCCGGCGTGGACCGAGAAGGACGAGACTTCCTGCTGTCCCTCGAAGACCTTAACTGCCCCCGCTGAGGTTGCAACGACCGCCCTGTCATGGGCCCAGAGACCGCTTGTGGCTTCTCCCTCGCCAAAGTCGAGCGGATATGTTAACGTGTCCTCCGAAAGTGAGTAGACTCCAGCTTTGCTGCCTGCGACCAGGGCCAGGGCTCCCGTCTCGTGTACTGCAAGCACGCGGCCACCAGGAAACAATGGTTTGGAGGTTGATCTCGATGTGTATGTCGATATTGAGTCCGAAGTGGCCCATTCTTCGGGCACTGGTCGTTTTCGCCGGGTCTTGGACAAACTAGGAAGATTCATCAGTTCCTGGACAGCATGGACAGAAGGCAGACATACCTTGATTGTGTGTTCTCGATCTTCTCCACGATCGCTTGCGGTAATGGAGCGCTGTCCACTTGCATTGCATCACCATTTGTGCTGGCAGCAGCCCCTCTAGTAATGTCTATTTGTGCCAGTGTTGCTCGTGCCTCATCTCTCTCTCTCGTGAGCTGTGCAATGACTCGCACCGCTGCATCATTTTCGTACAAGGCAGTGCTGAGCTCCTGTCGAGCTTGGTGAAGATTCTGTTGCAACGTGTAGGTTTGAAGAGCCAAAGCATCCCATTCATTCTGGAAGAAGGAGAGCATCGCAGGTATGGAAGTCATCTGCGGAGGTCGTGGATAGACGACATTGGGACTTTTGAGATCGATAAGGTCTTCGACGGTCAGGCTCTCGCCGGTGGTGGGTTCGGTGCCATTTTCGCTGATATATGCTTCAATCAGGCGCTTTTCGTAGACATTGCCTGCGACTGTCAGACCCGTGATACTTGGAGGGATTCACATGTATCTTGTACGCACCACTCTTGCGCGAGGCCACAGGAACCTGCGCCGCTTCTCCCGAGACTGTCATGACATTAGTCGGGAACATGCGCAGGATGGACGAAAGCACCTACTTGCGCACAGCATTGTGGCCGAGGCTTCTTCAACACAGGATAGTGATGCTTCGAGAGATAGGTCTCGAATCTCACCTGAGATTTACTTCACGACCACTCTCTAGCTGTGACGAAAAACCTACAAAGGTCCACCTGCACGTTCTTTCGTTTGAGGCTTTGCGACGGAGAATCGAAAGCCAAATTGTTATGGAGCTCGGCAAATATTCCTCTTTGGGCCTCAGCCTCGTCAGGTTTTCATCGCCAGCCTCGAAAGACATCGAGTTGCTTGGTTGCCTACTCCCCTAGTTGCATGACCTGGACCATCCGCATTCTGCATCCCCTCATCAATCGTAAAAGTGCGGTGAGGATTCTTCCTACCGATCTGCTCTCAAGTGGCATGGAGTCTCGTCTTGACTTCTCAGCAATCTCACTTCTGTCTGCCCACCATGGCAGACGCCGCCCTCCCATACCATGAGCCTGGGATCATTACAATCCTAGTCCAGTCGTCTTTCTTTCTGGTCTTGAATGTTCTAGGCACTGCTCTGGATCATGTTTTCTACTGCGGTCTTGTGGGCCAAGTCCTGATTGGAATGGCTTGGGGAACACCTGGCTCGAAGATGCTGTCTCGTGAATTCGAGGATGCGGCCACTCAGATTGGTTACCTGGGCTTGATCGCGATTGTCTTCGAGGGCGGACTGGCAACTTCGGCCAAGTCTCTTGGGAGCTCCCTGTTACTGTCTATCTGCGTGGCCCTCACCGGCATATGTCTGCCAATGGCCCTCTCTTTCTCTCTGACTGGGATTTCCAATGCCACGAACCTACAAGCGTTTGCAGCCGGAGCGGCACTGTGCTCAACCAGCCTAGGCACCACCTTCAGTCTTTTGAAGACGACCAGCCTGACCACGAGCCGTCTGGGCACGATTCTCACCAGTGCCGCAATGTTGGATGATGTTGTCGGGCTGATCATGGTTCAAGTCATAGCCAACTTGGGCTCCGGTCATAGCTCCATTTCAGCGACCACAGTCATACGCCCGGTTTTTGTATCCTTTGGCTTCGCCATCGTCATTCCCATGACCTGCAAGTTTTTGGTGAAGCCAGCTTTACCTCACGTCTTCGGGCTATTTGTCAAGGTGAGAGAGAAACTCGCTCTAAAGGCACTGGATCAAGAGATGAAGATATTCTTCCTTTTATCGACGGCATTTTTAGCCGCCTTGATCACCGCAGCAAGCTATGCTGGAACATCAAATCTATTCGCCGCCTACCTAGCAGGAGCTACCATATCCTGGCTGGATGAAGCTAGTCTACAGACCACAGAGACTCGATCCCAAGGGAAACGTTCGGAGAGAGCAAAGCTTCAAAATTGTGCGGTCAATGTGTCCTCCAATATCGCATCAGAACCATCCGGGGCGTCTCAATCTGCGAATGAGGACCCAGAATCAAAGAAAGAGATGTCCCAAGACCATCAGCCGCCTCTGTCGCCGCTGTTGAGGCTATCCGGTGAACTCACGCCGCCTCCCGAGAATCCAAGATCGGTAACGACTGTCGATCAAGATTCAGGAGCGGCCGATATCCCTGACGCTCTCGACGTGGAGAGCCGTGGCCTCCGGATGTACAACCACTTCTATGCACCTGCGGTGGAGCGGGTCCTGAAGCCATTTTTCTTCGTAAGTTTTACTCTGTCCTCCAGTTTTCCGCACGTGTTTCCCCTTCTATTGGCCGCTCATGCTCATGCCTTATCCCCAGGCCTCTATCGGCTTTTCCATTCCAATCACCAAGATGTTCCGCGGCCCTGTCATCTGGCGCGGGCTAGTTTATGCGTCGTTCATGGCTATCGGCAAGTTCTTCTGTGGCATGTGGCTGATTCGCTTCTCCAACTCTTCGCCACCGCCGCCGCCGACGTCGCAGTCTCCGATATCCAACAAAACCCGCAAGGATAAGCAGCAAGGGAAGAAACAGGTTATCCTAACGCGTAGGTCCCTCCCCCGGCCAAAGTCTCTCTATCCAGCGTCGATTCTCGGCTGCGCAATGGTCGCTCGAGGCGAGATTGGATTCCTGATCTCCGCGCTCGCCGCAACCAACGGCATCTTTACAAGCAGGCGAACGACCGGCAACGGCAACGACAACGACAGTGGCGCGGCCGCGGATGGAGACGACGGTCTTGTCTCGGACCTATACTTGATCGTCACGTGGGCGATTCTTCTCTGCACCATCGCCGGCCCGCTAGCCTTGGGCTTCCTGGCGAAAAGGGTCAAGAGGCTGCAAGTGGAAAGGGCACGAGATGGTGGCAGTCACGGGACAAAGGAGGACCCGCTGGGTATCTGGGGCGTCAATTAGTCCTTTTTGAATCTCTGTGCGAGATGTGACCGGGTCAGGTAAGGGCGGGGTGTCTTCAAGTTTTGGGGCAAGAGGAGGTCTAGTTAGCCAGCTAGCTAGATATACAGGCCTATAAGAGAGAGGAGCAACTAAATTTGAGGGTATCTGGAAGTGATTCTTAACAACAATCCTGAAGATTCCGTTCCTTGGGACTTGAGAAGTGCGATCACAAAGGGTCTCCTGCAACAAAACACCACCAGATGCAATTTTCACATGGAACTTGAGCAGAGTGCAAAATCACCAGCCCGCCATCCAGTATCCCTATCGGGAAACAATACCCATATTTTCGCCGTGTCCCCCGATCCATTTGACTGCTATAGACTCCTACCCTGCATACCTGAGTGCTGCGTGCTGCGTGCCTGATCACCTAGCGAGCAATTTCCCGACGAGATCCCTACCTTTGCCATCCTTGATACTCATGGCCTGGTGCGCCAACGTGTCGAGAAATCCTGACCTCTGTCCATTTTCGCCTCTCCTCGATGCGTCAAAGGTCGAGTCAGAAACCTCGTCAGGCTCGACAAAGCCGTGGTGTAGTTGTTGTTGGCGCCGCTGTCGCCCACTGTCGTAGTGTGGAGGCGGTGCGTTGTCGGGGTACGCGTACAGATTCGAAGTAGATTCTGACGCGTTTTGTGTGGTCGCATCGTACCCGTGGACGTGTCCATCGTGGTCCTGATGGTTGTAGCCGTGCGGTAAGGGTGAGTACGCGCTGTTACTCGTCGTCAGGACCTGAGGGTGGCGAGCTTCCTGCTGCTGCTGCTGCTGGCGTCTACCTCCGCGCGGCTCGGTGAACTCCAACGGCACGAAGGCTTCCTGCCGCGGTGGATGCTGTTGTTGATGATAGGCCCGTTTCTCGTCCTGATATGGCCCACCGGAGGAGTAGTACGGAGGTTCATCGAAGTATTGTTGATGGAAGTCCCGGTCTTGTGTAGGGCCCGGTGCAGGATTCGTGCGACGATTCTCGTTCGATTTGGACATCTTCTTCACGGCATAGATGCCCACGCCGGCGATGATGGCAGTCTTGATCAAGCCCATAATGGAGAGGACGTTTGTGTATCAAGTTTGGAGGCGAGTGATAGGTTAAATCCCTTGTCACAGTTTTTGTCAAGAAGCCTTTACTGTGTTCCTTTTCTGCGAAAATATACCCGGTAATTATGATGGTCAAGGTCTGTGATAGATACTTACTCAAACTGCAGGATGTCCAGGCAATTTTATACATTTACACGTCCCCATACCGAAAGATGGAGGCCTGGAGAGTGTTACAACCGTCCTTCCATAGCCCTTGAGCCACGCCAGCAAGGCCATCGCAAGCAGCGACCCTATGTAGTAAGCGCAAAGCAACTGAACAGTATACATGCATAGACAAAAGCACTAAGATGTTTAACAGCCACTGAGAGCGTCATAGGAAGTTTATGTCGTTCGGTCGGGGGGTTCGGTGAGGCTGTGCAAAAAGGGTTTGGGCTCGAGATCGTCACAGGACTGCGCCTTGGTATCAGGCAGCTGCGAATAATAGACCCGAGCTAATTGGACCAGGTCATAATGCTTGAGCTATCTCTGGTGTTTGGGGATATGCCTGACAGTAGATGACGCTTTGGGAACAATTACCTCTGTCCATGGATGGAGCCAGTATGAGGACAGAATTCACGGAAAATGGCAGATTCAGGGAGACCGGGGAAAGGATTTTGCGACTCCGTCCCTTTCGGGCAGTTAGCCACCAATCCTATTCTGGACTTCACCCTGAATATCAAGATGCCAGCTTATAAAGCACACAGGCTTCTTTCTTCATTGACAAGATTACCAATATTGTCGTCGTCTAGGGACTCCTTGTCCCAGTAACCCCAGAAATGAAGTAGTCGACTCTACAAATGAATGCAACCATCATGAGGAGACCGTTAGGCACTGACGATCGACCAACTTGTAAACCGACAACGTCTTACATTGTACACTTCTCCAACCGCGGAGCATTTCGTTCTACCGAGTACAACACATTCTCTGTGTTAAGCTGTACAAATCTGGTGGTCTATCTGCTAGTCGTTGACGAGCTGATCTGGATACACGATTGCTTACAAGAAGGACTATCAGTATAAGTTGGTACATGCTTGCTTATGTGAAGCAACAGTCTCGTGGTCGCGTGGTGCTAGGCGTATCATGTCGTGGTGACTGGTCTGACCACCAGATGGATGATGGATCACAGCTCTCTACGAGGTATCCAAGTCACTATTCCACACAGCTAGGAAACGACGTTCGAATGATTTGGTTAGTTCTCGGTGAGAACACATTCGAACCTACCGGAAAAGTTGGTGGGCATGTTGCGTTTGCATCATCGAACAAAACGGCAAGGCAAGTCGACTTGTCGCGTTGTCACAAGCCAGGCGCTGAAGTAGCATTTCCCCCTGAATGTCTGAATGGTTATTGCGTTCCCCCTCGACCCTTTCATCATCTTCCTTGGGCAGGTATTCTCCTGCCCAGCTACCCATGAGTAGTGACTACCGAGTACAAAGTACAAGAAGCGGCTTGTGCAAGCACAGTTAAAAGCCAGGTCAGCACGAAAAGGGAGCCTCGCGTGCCTCGGTGAGTGGTCTTCGGCGGAAGTTGGACAGGGGCGAAAAGAGCCCACGGGGACCACCGACCACGGGCCTGCATGGGCTATTACCAGCCTACCTGGACACCCTGGGTAACCTGGCCACCTAGGTAAGCCCGCCTAACAAGCCTAATAAGCTCATTGCCCGGGGAGTGCCCAGTGCCTCGTGAGCCACCACGCCTACAAGTACGAGTAAGCACGCTAGGGGGCACAGGCGGCCCCCGAAGGCCTCTTAGCTGATTAATAATTCACTCGCACCCACGATTTAACAGGCTCCAACGGCCCGTGTCATCAACCGAGGCACTAAATTGCGAGATTGACGGTTGATGCGACGGCGTCAACTCTTTGAAACTTAATGTTGATCTCGACAAGTACCGAGTACAACAGTACAAGTAACATCTACAGGTATATCATGGATATATATAAACAGATATATTTTCTAGGCGAACAGACCTCGGTCTTTTGGGGATGTCGCGGAAGTTTTGGCCATCGCTCAGGGGCAGGCACCAAGAGCGGGCAAATAGTGTGAAGGAAACACCCCAGTTGTCGAGAGCTGTTCCGCCCAGATGTGACCATATGTACTTGCGTGCCTGCGACAGACCTGATCATCATGCCCTTTCCAAGCTGCACCTCTATTTTCCCATACCATGTTCCCTCCCACCAATCCAACCCATACATACATACATACATACATACGTAGCCTTCTGCTCTGGCAGTTGTAGTGGTGGTAGTATAGTACAAAGATTCCACCTCGACATTCATTCCCTCATTTCAGTCCTCACTTCCCACTGGACATCCTTGCGGATCATATACCGTTGGCTCTCGTCGCTGTTGATACTGTTCCTGGCGGCTTCACCCCTGGACGCTCTGGCACCGGTCCACTGCACCGTGGTGGACGCTGTAGGCCCCCCAGCGAGCTGTTCGGCCGTCAACGCCTTCGGGTGGCCGCCGTAATATCCGTCCTGGTCGTCGTTGACTGAGGGCATCGCGGCGCTCTTGTTCTTGGACCTCAGTGTGGATAGCTGGAACCCCTTGGAGTGCTGGCCATGGCTGCGGTTGCCGCTGCCGTACCCATACCCGTAGCCGTATCCGTTGCTGGTGGCATGCATGCCGCCGAACCCGGTGCTCAAGCTCTTGAGGAAGTTGTGGAAGATGGGCACGGTGGCCGAGACCAGCGAGTAGCTCATCTCGCTTTGGGTCCAGGCGACGAAGCTGGATTCACGGAGTAGAGGGTTCGTGGTATAGGCGCTTTGGTCGAAAGTGTGCAGTCGGAAGGCGATGAAGATGACGAGACTTTTTGGGCGGGAAATCAGCTTTGATCACCCTAGAGGAAAAGGAGCAATGAAAAAAAAACTTACAGCAGGCGGATACCAAAGATGGACAGTACCGTCATTTTGCTCGATACTGATGTCTGCAGGTCGTGGACAAGGTAGCCGACCAGGGCGACAATGGCGACTTCAGTCACGATGTCGAGTGCGCCAATGACTTGCCACCGTCGAAGCTTTGAAGAGTCCGTCTGTCAGCGTTCTAGAACCTCCAGAGAGGACCGCTAAGAAAGGAATTTTGAGACTCACAATTCCCGGACACTTCTCACCAACGGACAACCACGCATGGGAGAGATTGCATTGAAAGGCCACGGCCAGGAAAGCACCCACTGTCCAAACCCCCAGGACTCCCATGGCGATGTTAAAGACCAGCCTGTGTTGCTTCATGCGCGAGATGCGGTGGAGGAAGGAGACGAGCGAGATCTTGGCCAGGCCGATGACGACGATAAAGAACAAATTGCTGGTGTAATACATCTTTTGGACCTCATTCTGCGATTCCAGCGACACCAGATGCAGTGCCTTGCCCAGCCCCTTGGAGCATGCTGCCAGGACGACCGACGACTGGATGATGGCTAAGGCGGTGGCCGCATAGAAGAGATAGTCGTCGGTCCCGATGCCGTGGCTGATGGTGGTGCGAACGACTGTTCTGATGCCGGCAAAGAACAGGATACAGGCCAGGCCGAAGGCGGTCGAGATCAAGATATACGCCTCATGATCGTCGGGGGTCACGACGGCGAAGGGGGGCGACTGTCCGGGGGGAATGGTGATACTCGACTGCGAGGTCATGATGAGCGCTGAGTACCAAGTAGTGAGGACTCAGCACTGCTGCAGTCTGCCCACACACAACGGGGCACAACGAATGTGCGAAAAAGTCAATGGTTGTTCAAAAATGCAAGGAACGAAGTTTACTTGTAAAGACGGGATGGTTGGTTGGGCATCCACGGCTCTGTAGAGAAAATGAATGGCCAGGCACAGACGAACCAAACCCACGCGCTTATACAACAGGTCTCGTAATAATAATAATGATAGACGCGGAAATGGAATGCCTTTCATACTATCAAGGTTGGCCCTTGGATTTCTTTTCCCTCGTATCTATTCGGTCTCTCACCCTACTCCTCCTCTCCTCCGTGCCTAACTTCTCTTACTCTCCCGTCACCTTACGAATGGAACAAGGAGCATCCCATAATATCGCTCCCATCCCCAAACCCCCCTGGCAACCTGCATCAGTCAACGTCGCATTTCCCTGTGCGCAGCTTCATATCTAACAGGCGCGTCAACGCCACTTTGGACCAAGGCTAGTCTCTGCGAGGGAAGGATCTGCAGAGCCGTTTGTGATGAGGGGGGTGGCCCATCAGCCTATCTGCCTCAAGCCTCTCGTTCCTGTTCCTGTGAACCCTGGTCAGTTATATGTGGAGATGGAGTTGACGGGGGATTCACGGCTCCGGCGCCGGAGGGGAGAAGCTCCCGTCAAGTTGTTGCCTATCACAGCGCACGGACGTGGCGGACCGTGGCGGACCTCCCTATTACAGCTTAGTGAATTTCGTCATGGCAGAGACTAAAGTTTAGTGTGGATCTGCTACTCGTACGTACAATAAAATGTGTGATGTGGAAGGTACATACCTACTGGGCAAGTACGAGTGGGCAATTTGACAGTGAATGTGATGGTGGTGGTGATGATGATTATGGCAACGAAACAATTGGCAGAACACAGGGGGTTTTCCCTCGTACTTCACAAACTCTCTTACTCTCTCTCGCCAATTCAAGAGACTCCCTTGGGGGGAATTTTCTCTCTCCATTCAATTATCGTGTACTTGTCTCCTTCTTGCTCCTGCACCCTCCACTTCCGTCCTCCTGCATATCCTTACATCCCTCGTACATAAGTGCCCGCAGTTTCCCCCTCCCCGGCTGTGAGAACTTAATCGGAGGCCTGGCCACCTGGCTCACTTAACCGACGGAAATGTTCTGCCCCAAACTCTCACCTTACCTTGGTCAAGCCCCTCTTAATTTCTCGTGGATGTGATAGCTACCTAGCTATGTGATCCTTGCGTCCACGAGAATTCATGGCCACTAGTCTATTCGACAAGGGTCTCCTTCGAACGCAATGGGTCTCGAAGAAAGTCGCAAGTTGTTTGACTCGGTGTTCGTCCTCTTCTTTGTGATCGAGACCGAAAATTGCCGCTGCTGCCGCTAATGCATGTAGGTTACGACTTATCATGCACGTCCGACCTCTTTCCCATCCCACTACGGTGGCATTGGTTTCAAGCCTATCATGCACTGTACTGTGCATAACTCGTCGTTCAAGGGTTGGGAGGCAAATAGATCAGCGGGGATCTTGTCCGAAACAATGCAAGTCAAGAATACAAGGGGGTTGGCACGGTGTGTGGACACTGGCAGCGTGGCTGAACCATTCGATACAGGGCACGGCCGTGAAACTGTATGATTAGGTACTGTATGGAGTATGTGCTGGGGTCGTGTCTTCCCACCTCCCCGTGGCATGGAGCAAAGCAACCCATGTCTAAACTAGGGAGACGACGAAGGATCTCGCGAGCAGCGCGAGCAGTTCGCTTCATAACCGTAGTAGTCGTAGTTAGTGGCCACGCATAGCGCGACAAACGCTTACCCCGTCGTGCCCTTGTACCGAGTACGAATTGATCTGCCACATGGCAACCGACCTGACTTGACTGACCTCCCCTTTCCACCACCACCATCCTCCTTTCAACAACTCTTCCTCGTCCCTTTTTCCCTTTTCCCACACCAGCAACCATCTTTCTCTTTTTCCCTTTTCTCTTTCTGCTTTGTGTCTTCTCAAAAGTTTCCCCTCAGACAAGAAAACATGGCGGCGTCGTTCCACCTCGATGGCAAGCAGATGAAAAATGTGAATGTCACGGATGCGCCAGGCTCGCCTCCAGACGGTGCTTCGGATGAGGTCTTTGACGATGGACTCAGCCATGTGGCCGAGAAGTTTAGAGGCACCTCGGCCGACAAGCGAGACATGATGATCATGGGCAAGAAGCAGGTGCTGCGTGTAAGTGTGAGGTAGAGAGACAAAGTGGTGCGCGCGCTGACTGGTTCCTTACAGCGAAACTTCAGCTTCATCACAATGCTGGGATTCGCCTCGACTTGCATTGCCAGCTGGGAGGGTATTCTAACGTATGTAAAAAATTCAGCTTCTCCCTTACAATGTGGTTTGGCTGGATCTAACAACCAACATCATACAGATACCTCGGATTCGTCTTGACCGATGGCGGCCTTCCCCTCCTGTTCTGGGGCTTTATTGCATGTGGCATCGGCCAGACTCTTGTCTATGCCAGCGTTGCGGAAATGGCGTCCATGTAAGTGCGAACAGAAATAGACCCTCGTAATGTGGTCGGACCATTGCTGATCATCATCTGCTCTCGACAGGTCACCCACAGCTGGAGGTCAATACCACTGGGTGTCAGAGTTTGCTCCGCAACGGTTGCGAAAAGTCTTGAGCTACTACTCTGGTAAGTGGATTTGTGTTATATTGCTTGTGTTGTCTTGTTCGTCCTTGGCAACTGACAACCGCCTCTCAGGCTGGCTCACTGCTATCGGCTGGCAGGTGTATAATGCCAGTGTGTGTTTCTTGGTCGGCACCATGATCCAGGGTTTGATCGTCCTGAATGACCCGACATACATCTACAAGAGATGGCACGGGACACTCTTGTCCATGTCCACCACCGTCTTTTGCATCTCTTTCAACACCGTATTGGCGTCTCGGTTACCAATCATCGGTATGTCCAGTCTTGGAGTGGCCGGGCAAGATCCAGTATCGTTTCAAGGCTGACTGTTCTGGGGTACAGAGGGAATGGTTCTGATCCTCCACATTGTGGGCTTCTTCGCCATCGTCATCACCCTCTGGGTCATGGCACCGCGTGCCGACGCACACACGGCGTTGCTCGACTTCACCAACAACGGCGGCTGGGCGAGCGACGGTCTATCGGCGATGATTGGGCTGCTGGCCCCCATGGCTGTGCTGGTTGGATATGACTGTTCCGTCCACATGTGTAAGTCTTCCTCGCGGCCAACCATCCGTCAATCCTCCAAAAAGGCCAAATCAAAGCTAACCTTGTTGATTCTCTTGCACCTTTCAGCCGAAGAAATCAAAGACGCCTCAGTCACGCTGCCTCGCGCCATCATGGGCTCTGTCACTGTCAACATTACCTTGGTCTTCGTCCTTATCACGACCCTGTGCTTCACGACGGGAGATCAGACCTCGGCGGCCACGTCAGCCACGGGCTACCCATTCATCCAGGTCTTTTACAACGCGACCAACTCGTTCGCCGGCACCAACGTCCTGACGGCCATCATCATCGTCATGATGGCCGCGTGCGCCGTGTCTGAGGTGGCGGCGGCGTCGCGGCAGATCTGGGCGTTTGCGCGTGATGGTGGGCTGCCGGGTTCGCCGTGGCTCGCGCGCATTTCGCCTGGGTGGAACATCCCACTGCCAGCGGTGACGGTAACGCTGTTGGTGTCGGCGCTGATCTCGCTCATCAACATCGGTTCGACCGTCGCGCTCAACGCCATCACCTCGTTGGGTGCCATCGCCACGCTCATCTCCTACTTCCTCACCATCAGCTGCGTGCTGTACCGACGCCTCACGGGGCCCGAGCTGCCCCCTCGCCGCTGGTCACTGGGCCGCTGGGGTCTGCCCATCAATGCTGCGGCCCTGCTCTTCCTAACCCCGTTGATCTTCTTCCTAAGCTGGCCCCTGACAACGCCCGTCACCGCCGAGACCATGAACTGGTCGAGCACCATGCTTGGAGGCTCCCTGATCATCGCCACGGCATATTACCTGGTGTGGGGCAAGAGCTCGTACGTGCCACCCGTTGTCCACGTCAAGCGCGACATGTGATGGAAGCGCGAAAAAAGCAGAGCAACCTGTGTTTATGTTATTTTTTTGGTGCGTCTATGTTTGTGCGTGCGTGCATGTGTGTGAACGTGCGTTTTATTTGGGAAAAGACCATGACATATACAATATCGCCATTCTTTCGAATTTCTGGATTCTACCGGGGAGATTTCCCGACAATATGTACGCTGCGTGGGTGGATTTGACGTGGTGGTGAAATTTGGGTTCGGGAGCTAAGATCCATTTCCCGTCGAGCCGTTTTTTGTTCCCGCAAAAGAACTCAAGGAGGGGGTGGAAGGGCGGCGGCGAGCAAAAAATCCATCAAAATCCACATCCATCTTGTATAGACTTTTCACTTTTTGGAGTAAGGGGAGAGAGGGAAGTGTCATTGTGAGCAGGAGATGCGGGAAAGAGAGACAGTCGGTGTATATAGAAGAGTGGGGGAGAGAGAGAAAGAGAAATTGGAAAATGCACATAAATTGAGACCCGCAATATACCGAATATATCGAGTATACCGAGCATAGCTTGTATTCCTCCTCCCTTTGAGCATAAAAAATTGTGACAACCTATGTGTATGTGGGCGTACGTAGTAGACTGCGTGTTTGTGTTTTATAAGGGGGCGGTTTAGGAGGTATTTGTAGGGCAACCGAAACCAAAAAAGGGGAAAAAGAAAAAAAAGCGACTTGTTTGGGTACTCGATACTCGATACCCCCTAACACAAAAGAGACAGGAAATGAAGTATGGGTATTAGGGGAATGGTACATGCGCGGTATATACACAGGTGCGTTATGCGCGAATGCGCCACGTATATGCATAGCAGGCAGATAGAAAAGCTGCAGGCTGTCGGGTAGGTGATACGTAACGAGGCAACGGGTACCAAGGTGACAAGGTAACATGGTATAAAAAGACAAATACCAGGCGATGCGCCTAGCCTTGGAATGTCATATCATGGTTATACAAAAGTCTCACTCGCTCGTCCGTCGGCATGCGGCAGTGGAGCTGCTTGCCGTGTGCCCTGCTCCGCAAAGGCCCCTGTGTTGCTTTTGAGTAGTATATACAGGGCAGAAGACTCGGGACTCTTCCAGTGTGCCCTCCCTTTGTCTGCCACTCACTCACTCTGGTCGGAATCTCGGACTTCTCTCACTGATCATCTCGACACGACCCTGTCTGTCATGATTGACTCACCCCTTGTCCATCCCCATCCCCATCCCCCAAGTCCGTCCACATGACCGACCCGCCCGTGATGCCGCGCAGCTTGAGCGGATTCGACTTATCCACCCGCACGATTTTCTTGCCATTACCATCGTCATCGTCCTCGATCTCAGCCGTCGACACACTCCCGACCAAGTACTTGAAGCCGCAGCGCTGATAGAACGGCTCGGTGTTCTTGGCGCCGATGACCACGGCGGGCAGCCCGTCCTGCCTGGCCCTGTCCAGACCCCAGGCGACCATTTTCTGGCCGAGGCCCCGACCCTGGTAGGCCGGGTGGACGGCCAACGTCGAGAGTTCCCAGTGGTTCGGGCGGGTGAAGAAGCGGGCGGAAAAGGGTTCGAGGCGGGACGCAAAGTTCCATTTGTTCAGCGGGTTGGGGTCCGCGAGCGAGGCCGCGGCGATGGACCGGTTGCGGAACAGGAAGCGATGGAGGGTGTAGAAGAATCCAATGACGGGAGAGATCAGTCTTCCTATAATTTGGTTCAAAATCACACATTTGGTCAGTGGGACTTGTTTATCAGATAGATGTGGACGTGCATGTTATAGGTCGCACGCGCCTGTCCCCGGGATATGGTATCGATATCACGTTGGACCGGATCGGGTCAGCCTTTCCACCGCAACTGTATCTTGCATGGTGGCTTGACCTCGCAGATTCCACCGATGGAAGGGAGAGGGCCGGCAGCTTTGGATCCACAAGCCATGTATATGCATGCCCGGCCTCGAACTCGTAGTAGGGGAGAGGGAGAAGAAAACGCCAGATACTTTTCAGAAGCATGAATGATGAATGATGAATACTTACTCGGATCCCACCATCTCACCCCCCAGAGACGATCTGATCCTTTACCCTCGCGCCCCCATTCCGCCGCACCGGTAATCAGCTCTCCCGACCTCTGTGACGGGTCTTGCTCGTAGCTGACGATCCAGATCTTGTTGTAGTCCCAGAAATTCTTGACGACCTTCTGGTGCCATACGGAGAGGTAGTCGTCCGGATATTGTTTCCGGTAGGGGAATATGTGGTCGTTGAGTTCCTCGTCGTAGAAACTCAGGGAGAGGATCTTGGAGATTGCCCCGAGATCCGAGTGCTTTGCCAGGCGGATAGGCATGTTTTGATTTGTTCACTGTCTCCAGGAGGGACGAATGTAACGAAGGAGGCGTGCAAATGCAAGGATACTGGTAGAGTTGAATGGTTGGTTGGCTGGTTGGTTCGGACGTTGGCCTGGGTCCAGTATCTCAGATGATGGCCCCCACAGTCCTGGCACAAGTTGACACTGCAAGAAAAGAAACCCTTGCTTCCCCCCTGGGTGACCGGGATTCTTCGTCAACAATCCTTCTGATGTTTGAAACCAAGATATCCTTCAAACGCGAACCGATCCCCTCAGGTAAGCAGCCAGGCAGGCAGGGCAAAGCCAGGCGAAGCAGGGTACCGTTGTCTGGTCGCTTCCCGTCGATCAACTCGGCACAGTACCGAGCACTCGTTCTTGAGTACAAAGTAGACAAGGTACAAGTATGGAGTAAGCACTCAAAAATCCCGGCCCTCGCCTTCACCCTCGCCCTCGGCCGGCCCCTGTCACGCTGTGTGGTTTCACTAGGGTACTGGGTACTGGGTACTGGGTACTGGGGTGAATTCTCCGGTCACGCAGGGCCCGACCGACCGACCGACTGACCACCTGAGCTGCACGTGGGAAAACGATGTGGAAATGGAATCTGCACAGGATCGCAAAAGAAAAAAAATTGTGGACAAGGGGGAAACGAGGGAAGAGATCCTGCCGACAACGTGGGAATCCAAAGTAACTAAGTTGATGGAGTCAGGCACCACACAGGTCAGGTACGGGAGTCAATAATAATTCAGGTACAAGAAACTTTAGCATGGCATCTTAAAACCTAGTCGTGGTCGCACGCCCTAGGTACATAGATAGTGTGGGATAGAGAAAAAAAAAAGGGGAGCAGACCCAGACAAAACCACCAGGTAACTCCACTACTTGAGGGTCCTCTCAAAGATCCCCCTGGGATACATGACTGTGGACTGTGTGACAGTGAAAATAATCTCACCAGACGGCTTTACAAAAGATACGAACGAGTCATACCAAATCCAAAACGCTTACGTAGCTTCGCTTGCACGGAAACTGTCGAGTCTAAAAATCAAGTTATTGGCATTAGACAGCGAGCTATGAGACTTCGCCACCGAGTATCCCGTCCCAAGGGGAGACATAGGTACTTCGGGTACAGGTACAAGTCCTGTAGGTACTCGTAGCGACCACAGTCGGGGAGCCTTGGAAGATTCTGCATCAGCATTGATCGGGACAAGCGTCAGGCACAGGACGGCAACGTCGAGAGCCGAGAAACACATTCTCTCGTGCCAAAGGACAGACTGCAGGACCATTCCAAACTCGTCTAAGCGTGCTAGTACCTACGAGGTTGGTGGTCATCATCGTTGACAAGGAACGACCGTGCATGTTTGCGCAAGAGAAAGAGAGAGAGCATGGGAAGGGGGAAAAAAACGTGCGGGAAGGATGCCAGAGGCCCAGCATAGACCCAACTGGTGTTCGTAAGAGAAACATCGTTCGGCATCGAGCCTTTCGCACCTCGATAAGAAATGATCAGCACGAGAAGTGGATTGGATTTAGTTGGGTGACCAAGAGATTCAGCTACGGGTACTCGAGGGACAAGGGAATGAATGCAAAGGTCCTCGCAACACGAACCATCAAGGGAGGGGGCAGGAGGCGTCCTCAATGGAGTTGGCTAGAGAACCAGAGACCCAGAGACCCAGGGACCCATGCATCAAATGGAGCCTCTCCAACAGAGACGCGGTAGGGCGCGATCCCCTGACGGCTTTCTCCCGAAATTGCATGAATCGGAATCAATATTAGCAATTGGCCAACCGTCGGTCATGGTTGAAGGCTGGGGTGGCAAGGGGTGGATGGCATCAGCAGTCCATGGTGATTCTGCCCTCCGTTCCGAACTTGTGTCGCAGTGTCCACCAACAAAGATGGTCGACCATTCACGGTTTTCCGGATCGAGGATCGAGCCCGTCCAACGATGCACTGGTTCTGGCCAAAGAAGCGGTGTACCAAGTCTGGTGGCGGCCAGACACCTTTTTCCCACAAGTCTTCTTCGTATTCTCGGGCACTTGTTGCTCAGATGGTGGCGGCCATCGGGGAACAGAAACTGTCCTGATTTGTCGCCGGTAGCGTGCTTCTGCATCCCGACTTGTCGCTGTGCCCGAGCAACCTGGCCTGAAAGAGGACGACGCGACAAAAAGGTGGCTTGACACTAGCATCTCTCAAGGTTTTTTGCTTTTAAACCTGCACAATGCCTTTTTCGCTGACCCGCATATCTGCCAGGATTTCTTTGGGAACGTTCTGCAGCTTGCATGATTAGATGCAGCTTTAGGTGCAGGGCGATGGGAGGCGATAGGATGAGGCGGGGATAGGAGGAATGAGAGTGAGTGGCCCGTGAACTGGTCGCGAAGACCCCCCTGCAAAGTCCCTTTGTTAGCAGCAGTTTGTACCGAATGCGAGCCCATGTACACACCTGGTAAGGATCATCGTCGGGTCATGACAATTTAGCTGAAGGAGTGGGGGGTTTGTGAAAGAAGTACGTGAATGAATCATGGACACGTCGTCCAACGATCAAGAGACCCGGTTGCGTCTTTGTCAGGGTGTCTGTCTGGTTTGTGTGACTTGTCTGAGTTGTGGTCGGGGGTGTGGAGGATGGAGGATGGCTGCGGGTAAGAGTGCATGCAGCTGCGTCAAATCCTCCCAAGTGTCGAGTGTGTGTGTGGTCCGTGGTATGCGGTGTCTGTGCGACAAGTCTCCTATGTACAACCAATACTCTACACACCTATCTATTTGTCTACAAGCTACTCAAACACACGTCACGCTATTTCAGAAATTCAGCACATACTTTTACTTGCTTCACGTAACTCGTTGGAACATCCCAATTCAAACCCGATTCAAAGGTCACCACAAAGACTTCCAAGATTGACACATCTAAAACCCCCCTTGGGGTATCCGGATCCATCAAATTCATCCAGTACAGTCCCTCTCTGTAGCCAAACATTTTCCTCCATGATAGCCGGTAGCCAAAGATGATATAAAACATTGCCATTGGGTCCAATTTTCTTTCTCTTGTAACACCTTGTGCTGCGCCATTGACCTCGCGTTGACATATCACAATTCGATAAATTCCCCCCCGAGACGAGCAAGAGCAGTTACACGAGTGGAAGCAGGACGTATTGCTTATGAAGGGCCTGAGTTCTCGTAATGGACCCGCCACTGCATGTCCTTGCGAATGATCTTTGCTTCACTGTTCTGGCTTTCTTGAGACTGTCCTGATCGCGCGTCCGGGTCGACCGACTTGCCCCAGTATGCCGTGGTGTTGTGCTGGACCCTGTCAGGCCGGAAGTTTGGGTTTTTCTCAGCGCTATCAATTTCATCTTCGTCCATTGACCTTCTCTTGCTTCGGTTCATACTGCTCTTGTTGGTTCTGTTCGTCTTGGTGAATGATTTGAGAGGGATCGACGCTTGGGCTTGGGCATCTCTGTCTCTGCTCGCCTGTGAGAGGGTGGTATCCATCCACGCGCCACCCATGTGTGTGTTGAACTTTCGAAGACCACGATTGAGGGCAGGCAGGGCCGCCGAGGCGATCGCAAAGAGGACCAGGACCTGTCGGTAAACAGTAGGGGTCACGATCTCGATACCAGGGTTCGACGAGTGGACGGTCACGTATATGTAGTGAGCATGGAGACCGATCAGTGCGATGACGCTGTCGCGTGTGAGCAGGTGAGTGATTGATGCGGGCTTGAGGTGTTTTGACTTACGCTAATCTTGGGGCAAAGGTGAGGAGAACCGAGATTTTACGGTCCGTACTCATGTGAAGCGGCAAGACTACGATCATTGACAAGATGAAGATCAGGGCCTCAGTGATTCCGTCCACAACGGCGACTGCGGTCCATCGTTTGGTCTAAGTGGATCAGCGGCCTGAAGTCAACAGAGAACGGATACATCGGAAACGTACCAGAGTTGGACAGAATGAGGTATTGTATCCAAGCTGTTGGAGCGAGTCGCAATCAATGGTGAGCGCCAGAATGGCTCCTATGCACCAGAGACCACAGACCACGGTCATGGTGTCGCACAACGTCCGGTGCCGTTTCATGTTGATACTGAACAATTTTCGACATAGAAGAATCACGCAGCTTTTGGTAAGGAACAGATCGACCAGGAATAACACGATCGAGGCGAGCAGCAGCTGTTGATTTCAGTCAGCGAAACTGCCTTGTAGTCAGGATCAGGTTTGGAAGGTTGTGTATATACCCTGCTGATAGAACTCGCTTCCGAGGAAGTAATGTCCTCATATGATTTCCCAAACCCATGAGACACGGCTATCCAGACCAGAACACTATGTAACAGTCCTACTACCTGTTTGCAGGGGTCAGCAATCTACCTTCTCTTTCTCCAATTCCAGGAGCAATGCGCCAGCCTTATACATACCGACACGGCAATGGCCAATCCATCATCAAGACCGATGCTTTTGTTGGTGAACGTGCCCCGGAGGGCCAGGATCATGGGGACATAGGCGGCGCATATGACGGAGACGACCAGAATGACGCCGCGATGATCATCGTCAGTCACGCGAAAATATCGATTGCCCGCTACCGTCGGGTCGCTGGTGGTTGAATCTGTCATTGTTGCCGTAGGGCTGGCAAGAGAAGTTCTGGAGATGCGGCATCAACGACATTAATCAAGAACGGCCACAGGAAGAGGATCCCCTTTTGATATCAAGGTTTAGCTCAAGACTTTAAATCACGCCCCGAGTACCCCCTTTGGAGAAAACGGTGGTGCTGGCTGGGCGTGGACAAGAGGTGCGTGAGATAACAGGCAAATCCAGGCCAGACGAAGTTGCGTCTTGCGTGGGTTTGAAACTACTGAAAAACTCAGATACGGGAGGTTCATTTTCGGCCAGGGTTGGGCGTAGGGCAGTGGCACCACTGGACGATGAGGATCAAAAGGTCTAGCGGTCATTGAGAAGCGAGCAGCGAACAAGCCCTGGGAGCCATCGCTTGGATCGCTAAGGGTGGCAGAGAGAACTGAGGAGTCGAGGCGATGGTCCGGGGCGATGGCGCCTACCATACCATTGGGTGGTAGGAATGGGCCTCCGATGAACTAGAAGAGACGATGGGCGCGGCATGAGCCAGGGTGGACGCTGAATGGCCGCCTGGAACCCGGGTATCAATTGCACCTTAGGTGGGGGGAAGAAGGCGGACTTGTACAAGTTAAGTAGGTGACTCTAGGTGGCTCTGGGTAGCTCTAGGTGGCTCTAGGTGGCTTTAGATGGCCTTACGGAGAAGCTGGCTCCCAGGTAGCCCCATCCCCATTAAACCCCTTGCCGTAGTGATCGTCGCGGCGGGCCGACACTAAAGACACGCCCGGGTTGTCGGAAACAGCAAAAGATGGGCGCCGTACGAGTAAAGCAGCCCCTCAGCAGCCCCTTGCTTTGCTTACTGTGTACTTGGGCTCAGCTTTGTAGTTTGTCGGTCGTACCTGTTACTTGGAAGAGACTTGGGGGACTCCCCCTCGCTTCAACCCTTGCAGGTTTGAGTGCTTCAAGGCCTCCCTCTCCTCCTTCCGAGTGCCTCATCTCTCCCTCGTCGACCAAAACTACCTTGTAATAATACTACCGAGTACTACAAACTACTAACGAGAAATTCATCTCATACCACCACCTCCTCTCCCCCCACTTCTCTATCTGGCTGTACGGGTAAAAACTGCTTCATGCTCACACTATCCATAGAAGTTAAGGTATCGGTCTAACCTAGTTTCTTCTTTCGCCATCCACTTGCTACTGCAGATAAGCATCTCTGCCTCGTACTTCTTTTGTCCCTCAACACCTAGCTTGCTAGCTACTTCCACGCTTCCCACCCACGCTCTCCTCCGACCACGCTGCCGCTGCCGGTCTATCCACTACCCACTCCCCTATCCTTTACCCGGTTTCCACTTTGTTCGTGGCCCAGGGGCTCGCTTCACACCATGTGAAGACCCTGAAAATGCCAACTCCAAGAGTGACAATAGTCTCCGCAATATCTTTCCATGTGCAGAGAGGCATAAGAGGGAATAAAATGGACCCAAGCTACTTCAAGCTACCCACGCACTTCGTCGACACTAATGCCAGTCCGAGGCAAGACCATCGGCTTGCCACATGGACTGTTTAAACTGTTAGTCTGCGTGGTGCATTTCTTCCCTGTCCTCTTACTACCAACCACTCATCGTTTCCGGAGTTTTAACCTCTGGTGCCTCGAACCCAATCCAAAAAACCTTCCAGACTCCCTTTTGGTTTTATTTCCCTGCTCATCTTCTCAAATATTTCCCCCTCTTCTTCCTTCCCCCTTCCATCATCTCAATCACTTCTTTTTCGGTGGGGGGTTTTTGTTCCTTGACGCTTGAATTTTCTCTGCCTTGACCTTTGTGTTGCTTGCTCAGATTACCCGACATGAGCAAACAGGCTGAGATTGGCACCATGGGCGAGGTGGTTGCCGAGACCGCCAGTGACGATGTCGTCCTGGGTGAGAAGGCGGGAACATCGAGGGATGTGGAGGATATGAAGCGTATGGGCAAAGAACAATTGTTCAAGGTAATTAGCCTCCTCGTTGAGTGTTCCGTGGGCGATCAAAACATGTGTTGACCATGATATCTCTACAGCGCAACTTTGGTTTTTTGTCCATCTTCGGCTTCGCCATGATTCTGATGCAAACCTGGCAAGCGCTGCTCGGGTCAGTCTACAACCATGTCGCATATATTTCCCCCCTTAGTCGAATGTCAAACTGACTGCGACTCGTACAGAACTATTGCCTTTGGTCTTGGTAATGGTGGAACAGCGGGTCTGATATATTTGTACATCGTCGTCGTGGTTTTCTTTACCCTGGTCAACATCTCAATGGCTGAGATGGCTTCCATGGCTCCGACAGCAGGTATATTGAAACCACTGGGAATGTCCCCTCTGCCTTTGCTAAGTTGGCGAAAATAGGTGGCCAATACCATTGGATCTCGGAATTTGCGCCCCGGAGTCGACAAAAGCTCCTCTCGTTTATCGTTGGCTGGCTCTGTACTCTCGGCTGGCAGAGTGGTGTGTCGATTGGTTGCTTTTTGGCAGCCACCGAGATCCAAGGCCTGATTGTCCTCAACAACGACTCGTATGTCTATGAGCGATGGCACGGCACTCTCCTCACCATTGCCATTGTGCTCTTTGTCGCCTTTTTCAACACCTTCCTCGCCAAACATCTGCCTCTGGTCGAGGGTATGGTTCTCTGTTTGCATATTGGCGGTTTCATCTGCATCCTTGTTCCCCTCTGGGTTCTGGGCCCTCGTGGAAACTCGCACGAGATCTGGACAGTCTTTGAAGACGGCGGCAATTGGGGTTCAAGTATGATTCAGTCTCCTGATGTGCGTCGTTGGCCGTAACTGATTTATCTTTTAGCCGGTCTCGCAACACTGGTCGGTATCATCACGCCTGCCACCGCATTCCTTGGTGCCGACGCTGCCGTGCACATGGCCGAGGAGCTGAGGAACGCTTCCAAGACCCTGCCGAGGGTCATGCTCTGGACTTCGATCGTCAACGGTAGCCTGGGTTTCATTATGCTCATGTAAGTGTCTTTCTGCCCTCTAAACTGGAATGGCTTGTGCTGACAGATATCATAGTACTTTTTGCTGTAAGAATATTCCCATCACCAGGGCCAAACTTATGGTCTGGCACTCCAGGAGAGTTTTGTGGCTAACGTTTATTCAGACACCCTAGGCGATCTGGAGGATGTCCTCTCGACTCCAACCGGCTTCCCTTTTATTCAAGTCTTTTACAATGCGACTGGCTCCAAGGGTGGTGCCACGGCCATGTCATGCATCCTCGTTCTATCGGCAGTGGCCAACGGCATGACCAACATGGCCACGGCGTCTCGCCAACTGTTCGCATTTGCTCGTGACAAGGGTCTTCCCTTCCACACCTGGTTTGCCAGGGTCGACAGCCGGTTCGAAGTGCCAATCAACTGTGAGTGATGATTGCCAAATGTTGTTGAATGAATGTTTCAATAGCTAAGACCATTGTAGCTGTCCTTTTCACCGTCACCTTCTCCGTCCTCTTCTCTCTCATCAACATCGGCTCAACCGTCGCCTTCAACCAGATTCTGTCTCTGGGTGTCGCATCCTTGTTGTCATCCTACTTCATCTCCATTGCCTGTGTTGCCTGGCGCCGAGTCGCCAATCAACCGCTGCTCGACCGAGTTTTCGACCTCGGCCGATTTGGAATTCCCATCAACTTTGCCGCCCTTGCCTTCCTCCTTCTGACCTTGGTCATGAGTTTCTTCCCCGGAGGAGCCAACCCGACGCCACAAACGATGAATTGGTCTTCGCTGGCGTACGGAGCTGTGCTGATCCTCGGAGGTATCTACTACATCTTCTGGGCCCGACACCACTATGTCGGACCTGTGGAATATGTCCGCAAGAGTGCTTAAGATTGATATTGGAAAAGGTGGCTTTGTTCTTTTTTTTTGGATGAGCGGCACTGTTCCAGTGGCTTTGACCTGTATAGTTGACTTGTTCTCTCACTCCAAAAAAAGAGAAGAAGAAAAAGAATGCTCATGTCCTCCACAGTTATGGTAACAACCCTCTCTTCTTTGACTGGTAATTTGGAGTCGGGCGGCGGTTCACGGGGTTTCTACGATTTTTGGGAGTCGAGAGCCTAGACGATCAACTTTTTACATACGTAGCACACCAGGTAGTGGTGTCCAACAAACAACCAAACAACATCTCACTTTGCATGCAACGGCTCGCTGGGGCTACAGCATCGCGACGAGGTCAGGGTTATATATTGAGCACCTACATAGGTACCGAGTAATGTGTGAGAGAGAGGAGAGTATAGTGCAGTGCAGGGCACATGCACAATTCAACCCCTCAACCTCTGAATCAGCATCAGCACTAATCATTTCGTTTGTTGCTTCACCGTGCCGTTATTTCTGGGAGGAGAGGGTCTTCCCCCCCTTACTTCGTACAGTGCCATTTATTGTCTTGGACCATGATGGGTTTGGGTAGAGAGTACGGTCCTGTTCACGTTAGCCTTGGACTGGGGATTTGGGGTTTGGCTCATGAGGGAAGTCTACCACGTACATTACCCAGGTACATTATGTCACCTACAGTACCTAAACAGGTACATACATATATACCAGGTAACTCGGATGCGAGATGCATACCTATCTATCTCTCCGAGAGTACTTCAAGTACCTACGACATTGGTCGACACGACGTCCAGTCCCCTCTTCTGGACAAGGTAGGAACACTCACACACCCACACACTCTCTCATGGTCGTTCTCGTTCTTGTTCTCCTTCTCTCGCTCTCGCGCTTTCTACCTAACGTGGTAGATATGCAGGTATCAAGGACACAGGGTAAGAAAATAACGAAATAAATTCCACCGCCCCAGAGCTGTTGTGTGACTGCTCTGTATAGAGTGGTTGGTATCTAGCATGTGAGTATTTCCTTTGCGGTATATCGTATATGGTCTGTGGCTGGCCGACCAGTTGGTAGAGGGATGGGTGGGCGAATGTAAATGAGAAACCATGTCGGGCTGCCGGGTTGACAGTGAGTGAATGGATGAATGAGTTAGAGAGTCAGAGAAATGAATGATGACAGAGGAAGGAGAAGGGGGAAGGAAGGAGGGGAACGGGAGGCTAGGAGGCTAGGGACTGGGGAGACTGTGTGATTCCGATCGGGACTGTGCATTAATTCAGTTCCTCCTGTGTACCTCGTAGTCACATCACGCAGGGACCATGGTGGCGCAAGGTCGTTGGTGGTAGTATTTTTTTGGAGGATGGAGCTCTCGCATGGGAGAGCGTCTCATATTGGATGGATGGATGGATGGATGGATTACACTACAAAAACTGTGCATACATACATACATGCCTCGCAGGTTACTGATCGAGGACTATGAGGAAAGGTACGAGGTATTCGTTTGGACATTCTACTACTATTCGGGTGGGTAGGTATGTTGGCGTGTTGGTGGGAACATGATGGGCTCCCATCCAAAGTATCCCATGTCCATCTCAAGTTCCTACCACCCGAGAAGAGCCAGCACGGCCAGCTGCCAGCTAACAGCCTGGGCCGGATCAAAACCAACCAAGCCCCGTGCTTGAGGTGGCACTGCTGAACTCGGTTATCGGTCTGATCCCAGCCTTGAAAACCAAGGAGCACCTCCTGCAGGAGACAAGCAGCATCTCATCCGCCACTCGGGACGAAGCCGTAGACCGGGAGTTCCGTCATCACATTCTCACAGGCTTCTCCTTGTACTTGTAGTATTGGGCTTGTAGACTAAGGACGTCACAACACCCTTTTACCTAGTCGGACGGTAAGGGAGAAAATGTGGACAACCTAGTGGGGGGTTGGCATGTCTGCCATGTCACGCATGTCTCAGGTCACCATTTAGGGACATATCGTCGGCCATGGTGGTCAAAGTCACACTCATTTTTCCCGCTCCTTCGGCATCCCGTCAAGAGGTGGCGTCCGGGTTGGAAAGCTAGGGGTTGGTGGTGGCCACAAGCCAGAAAACCGTGGTCGATTGCAGGATTGTAGACAACAGAGATTGTCAATCGGTGTGTCAACCTACGCTTCGTGGTCGAGATCGAGTTAGCGTTATCACAGTGCTTTCACACAGAAGGGGGGAGTGACAAGGACTCTCACGATTCATTACATCTCGTACCGAGTATTCTAGGGTGATGTTGGACAAATAGATCATGGCCCCCATGCTCCATGCCCTTCCGACACCATGCACAAGCGGACGGGGAAGCCGGGAAGGCCTGTTTCTCTGACTCTTGGGCTCTGTGGGGTATACCGAGGCGCCCACCAAAGTAAGCCTGAGATTCGCACTAGACGATGCATCTCCTCGTATTGTTCACTTCGGATGCAGAACACAACAATCACTAGCTGAGGATGTGGAAAACGAGGGCGCAAGGACTTCGGAGGGAGGAGCATGAGGGCTCGCACTCGGTGGTGTTCGGATCGGTCGCTGGTTGGGTGGTGAGAAGCTGATCTCAAAAGGCAAGGATGGAGTCGTCAAGTGAATGGTGTTGATGGGGCTCGCTAAGACTTTCTCAAAGACTTTAGCTTCCCTTGGCCTTATTTGACCTTTTTGCCGTCTTCTTTTCTCAACGCCCAAAATGTATGGAGTAAGAGTACGAAGTACACGGCTGCACTCCCATCAACGGACAAGGCTTGATTCATGTTCCTGACGATCCGACCGAACCTGACAGCAGCCGGGAATCGCCTCAAATTGACAGCTCAACCTTCCAATCTCATGCACCAACCCGGCGCAGGGGAGCGCAGGGGAGGTTTTCCAGATCAAGTGCAAAGGCTCAGCCGAGATGCAGGAAAATACGAAGTTCATCGGTCGCCCGCCCATCACCTCGCCCATCACCTCACAGGAGAAGCAATGTCTGCCTAGTCTTCTACGTCACAACCCGTCGCTGTTTGCTGTCCGGGATGCAGCCTGACAGCGGCACTGAAGTGACAACCCTGCCGACGGCTGCCACCAACTCACCTTGATTGGATTCCTTTGTCTTCTCCATGCGCTTGTCAAGCCACTTTTGCTGGTCCAGCTCTTGTGGGAGCGGTGAAGTCGCCTACGGGCCCAGGGTTACCTCTAGAAATCTCCCCTCCGCCATCATTCACGCCGATCGACTAGGCCTACGATCCTTTCTCAGTTCTCGGATTTCCTGTGATTGGGTTCTCATGCCCTTACCCTGGGCAAATGCACAATGCCTGCCCTCTTCCTCACGCTCAGAATGGAGAATCTCAGCCCCTGGGAAACCATCTGTTGGCACAATACGGGGTTGATCGTATGTATACCCTAGCCACAAGCGCAGCTACTGGGGTGTCTCTCTCTCCGCCTTTGCCTCGCTGTCCATTCCAGCTTCATATTTGACAAGAGATCTATATTTCTCGTTCTCCCCTTTCCCACTCTCCTTCTCCCCCTTCTCCCAGAAACTAGAACCCCTCTGCTGGTTGACTTCTAAAAGTACCTTCCCTCTATGATGCAGCGTCAATAGATGGGACCTAGCGACCCAAGGACGAGCCAGTCACTCTCGAGCTTATGGCTTATCCCGTTACCACGCCCGACACCTTGGCGCAAGACTTGGACAATGCCGGGAATGAGTTCCTCGCCTCCCTCACCCAGGGCCACAGCGATGCCTTTCAGGGCATTGACACTCCCGAAGACCTGCGCAAGAGCACGGCGGAACTCATGACGACCTTTCAGGTCAAGAAAAAACTCGCAACAAAGACACAGCATATAGTTGCGGATCTGATCGAGGTTCTTGTATCCTATTTCGAGGTGCTCAACCTCATCACCACACAGGGTGTCACAACATATGCTGCCATGGTCTGGGGATCCATTTTCCTGATACTCAAGGTTAGATCTGTCCATTCCCAACGTGTGTAACCAAAGCGTTGAACCTTTAAAGGTGGCAAGCCCATTCCCCGCTCTGTTTGAGCGACTGACGCTGCTGTTGGCCGACGTGTCGACATGCATTCCTCAATATCGGAAGCTTCTGGAACTCATCGGTTCCGACATGTCTTTGCGCGGGCTTTTGTTTCCCAGTGATAAGCTGAATTGGTCGCTGCGCGCCCTATATCGCCATATCTTCGGGCTCTTTGGCGATATAGCCAGAGTGTTTGTCCCAAACGACCAACGTATGTTGTTCCTCTCCCAACGACCTCGGCAAGTGATCAATAACCCGATATAGGGCAACCGATCATGTTTGGTCACTCTTTCGAATCTCGATTTCGATCTTTTCTGGAGAATTTGGCCTGCCACGCTGAAGTTGTTGACTCAGAAATGCTGAGCCTGCCACAGGAGGACGTGGAAGCTTTGCGTGCCATTCATGAAGGAGCCCCAATCAGAAGAAAGCCATCTTTTGAAAGCTTACCTGGGCACCACGATAACCCGGACCAAGTGAACCATGGCTTGGGACCAACAGGGACAAGCAAGTTTGCTTCATTCTAAGAGGCATGCTGACGCTGACTCGGTTCCTTTAGATGAACTGATCCGTCGCATCGAAAGATGGCTGAGTGCTCCGTCCTATGTCGATGCTCTTAATCGAGCCAGCTCTCTTCGACAAAGCGGCACGGCGGACTGGCTGTTTGAACACTTGACATACAAGTCTTGGTCGGAGTATTCCCACGAGGAAGATGGACTGTACGAGTTGACTGGCCCGGTCCTCTGGATCAGAGGTCAGCAGTGCCTATATCCATTGCCAGAACTCACCACTGATATCGTGCTCGAACAAAGGGAATCCAGGAACTGGCAAGACCGTCCTCGCCGCTGCCACGATCGTCAACCTCAAAACGTCAGTGGATCCAACGAATCATCACTCGAACCTTCTCTCCTACTACTTCTTTGATCAAGGATATCCGTCGCATAACACCATTCGTTCCGCGTACGCGTCAATGCTGTCCCAAGCGCTTACAAAGTGGACACAGTTTCCCGGCATCCTTGATTTGTTCAGCTTTGCCATGACTCGACGTACTCCAGGACAAGATCGCGCAACAGTTGGAGACATGGCTGATATAACCAAGCTTTTGAGACCACTCTTCACCAAGTGGTATATGATCATAGACGCTGTGGATGAGTGCGAATCCCCTGAAGCCTTCCTGAAATGTCTTTTGGACCTAGACTCGAAACATGAGCCCCAGGTTCTGCTGTTCGGCAGACCAAACATTAGCTTCCTGAGCCGGAATGTACCTGAGAGCGACCGGATCACCGTCAACACCGAGCTTGTAAATCCAGATCTACGCCGATTCTTCTCGGAGCATCTTACGGAGATGGTTCGGACTAACCTCTTGGACCACGGCACAAACCTTGAGGAGCTCATGGGTCACCTTCTCATAGGCGCTGATGGAACGTTCCAATGGGCACAGCTGATGGTTGCTTACTTGAAGTCAGAGGCTCTACCAAGACAAACTCGACCTAGTCTGATCAGGAGTCTGAGAGGGCCTGAAAGGCTCGAAGATATGTATATGCGTATACTTACTGCGATTGCATTGAGGTCACGAGTCGAGAAGTTCTTCGCGAGGCGCATGTTTATGTGGATTCTCGTCGGCAAAGGTGTCGGCCGTCTCGATCAACTTGAGGACCTGCTTCAAACGCTGAGGGAACAGAAGGCCTCAAGCCTCTCTGCGGAGGAGCAAAGAGCCTCTGCATACATGCTCGACAATTTCGAGCCCTGCATAGTGAGGGTATGTTCGGGCTTGGTCGAGGTGCGATGGTCGCATGCACTTCGGAGCAAGATTTGTCGGTTCGCGCATTCCTCCGTCCATGAGTTCTTTCAACGGAAATGTTCTCGGACGAGCGTTGACGCTGATGGGATGGGAGTCACTGGTTACCTCCATCCTTCCACCTTCGAGGCAGAATCCGAGCTGTTGACTGAATGCTTTCGTTATCGCCACGCCTGGCAACACCAAGAGTCACTTTCCGCAAACACTGTGGGGGCAGCGTCGAGCACATCTTTGGACGAAACGCGACCATTTCTGAGGTACGCCACGCTGGACTGGAGAGCACACCTGGTTCAACCACCAGATGCTGCCGGAGCGACACTTGCCGCCCTTTTGCAAGCGTTGGGGGGGTTTCTCGCGGACAGCTCCGGAATGGTGTCGTGGGTCGAAGCCCTTTACACGTACCGGGCAGATATCAGGAAAATCAACGATGGACTAGGTCGATGGGCGTCCAAAGCGTCTACATCGTACTCTGGCCCATATTCCGAGACCGTCAAGCAGACTGCGCAACAGGTGCTTGCTTTGGTCAAGGATCTTGGTTATCTGGACAAGGTGTGGAGGGCGAAGCTATCAAGAAATCCTGCTCTCTTGCGGAGTAACATCTCCGCCTTTAGTAAGAGTGCATTTTTCGCACCGCTTCGGCCTGTGGCGCCCGCGACCGTCCTGCAAGTGGCGTCTACGACGGATCAGGAGAGGATATCAAGCCTGACCTCAGCTCCCCTGCGCCAAGTATCCCGTGAGAAACCCGGCGGGGGGTCCACTGCCACTCTGAAGATTTGGTGTCCGGCAGTCTCCAGCAGTATCAAGCCACAGAGCTCCTCGCCCGCTGACGGAGTGACCAATGCAATGTATCGTGGATGGATTGCTCAATTTGAGATCTGGGCCACAGCAGCCGCCGAGCCTGTCCTCATGCAACGGTGGGATTTCCCTTTGGACGAACAGGAGGTTTCATGCCATATGGCACCTATTCTGGGCGCGACCATTCCGTGCGGCGGATCTGTCAATGCAGCATCCTACGCAGCCGATGATATCCCAGCGTTTCCCATGAGTATCGGGGAACAGTTCGATTTGATCACTGTGCTTTATACGGTGTACGTGCTCGACCGACAACAAGCACGCCTACCCGATACTGGGGAGCCAAAGAACCATGGCTGGCTGCGCAGTTCCCTCCCTATTGGCTGTGACGCGAGGTCACTTTCGGTCTATCAACCGGTGGGCAGGGGCGTTGAAGACCGTCGCAAAGTCTTCACGACCACCCGGCCGGCCTCGTCGCACATGTTCACACATAATAACCTGGTCATCTATCAAGGCGTATCCAACAGCAACTATGATCAAGGACTGGGCCAGTACGGCAGTCGGGTTGTGAATGAAAGCTGCTTCATGGTAATCTTCCAGACCCAGGTCAATGCTGTTGAAATCAGCATCAAAACGATCGCCATCCTGGACGGCCTTGATTTTGCCAACGCGTTCAACAGCTGCAGCTTCCACCCGACCCTGCCGTTGGTGGCCCTCATCTGGCACACGAGGATCTTCGTGCGCAGTGCTGCGGTGTGGAGTTTTGCATCCCCGAGCGTAGTCCGGCGACATGGCGTCAACATTGTCACGCCGGTTGATTTCCAGGATGGCAACGGGGTGCCCACATGCGAAGTGCTTGTTGACTGCGGTCCAATAGCCCGAGTGCAGTTTTCAGGATGCGGCAACAGATTGCTGGTCGACCTGCTCTCCCACCATTCCCAGGGACTTGTTGATTTACGAGACACTCCTACGTATCACGCGGCGGTGGCCGAGCACGAAAGGTCGCAAGAGCACAGGGTCGAACAGCGACCCGGCCACTCTCAGAATCCTTGGCCTCTGCGTCAAGGGCGGTCCCGTCGCGCTGGGCCGGCGAATGCGAAGCAGCAGGACGGAGTCGCGGGTTCGCGAGACGCCAGCTTTGTTCCTGTTGCACCCAGACGCGGTCAGAATGTGCAGACTATGGGCCTGCCAGACCATAATGTGAGTCCTGGCGGCGATCAAATGGTACTGTGGTCTCAGCCAGCATCAGAGATCATGGAGCCCTGCGCTGTCATTGTTCAGTCACCCGCAACTAGACAGGACAAAATCGACTTCAGCGCGACTCAGGTTCAAGAGCTGTGTCAGAACCGGCGTGTGAACCTGACATCGTCGTCGCCGCCGCCGCATCCCATGGGCCTCCCAAACAACATCGGAGCAAGAGCTCCCAGGAGGAAATCGGGCCTCGAATATCAGAGTGACCGAGCGCCGACAGCACGCTATACCATGGGAGAGTTAACGACAATCCTAGAGCCAACGGTGATCACGCAGGGCGTCCAGGCAAGAGAACCTGCCTTCGCGGCAATCATGGACTCTGACTATTGCCCAATGGCTACACCATTTCCTTGCACCAGTGAAGCAAATGTTGAGCCATCGTCACTGGTCATGTGGACCGGTGCACCAGTACCTGCGCCACTTCTCAGCACAACGAGTACGATGGACTATGTGCATGACCAAGCGCCGCCGACCCCTCACTATGACTGGGTGGGTGCCACAGTCATGGACGAAGGTTGGGGGGGAGAACGAGTAGCGGAAGGGCAGCAGCAGCAGAGTCTTTATTATTACGCCCAGCAGAACGAAAGCCCGAATGGTGATGTTGGCACGGTGACTGGGCCTTTGTCTTCTGTGCGTTTCCCAGAGCAGAATCACCTGCAAATGGAGTGGCAAATGCCAATGCCCTTGCAATGTCAACAGCAATACCAGCAGGAGTACCAAGATCAAAGCCAATCTGCGCCCAGCGAAGATGGAGTCTCGCGTCGGAAAAGGCTTGCATCGGTTCTGGATGTGAGCAGGGGACATGGACGGGTGCGGTCTCAGGGACAGTCTCGGGGACAGGGCGACGGGCAGGGACCGAGTTCAGGAGGGCGTGTCGAGGCAGCGGAAGCGACAGCGTTCAAGAGGATTTGTTTTTGAGCAAGGGAGTGATGGCGTGGTTGAGCGAGGGGTCGGTTCAGGGGTTGATGTATAGTTGAGTGGGTGACTGCGTGAGTGGGCGAACAAGTGAGTGTCGAGGCATGGATGACAAGGGTCGTGCAGAGGGGAGGGAGGGTATTGATATGTGTACCTCGTATATACGTCTACATCTACATACCCAGCAGCTAGATACGAATTTCCTAGTGTACATGTGTTTTTGCTCTGAACCGAGTATATGGAATGTGTGTTTCGAGAACCAATTACTTGTTACTTGTATATGGATTCCCCCCTCTCTAAAGGAGATACTTGGTACCCGGCACAAGGACATACTGTACATATGTAAACTCAAGCCTCGCTCAACTCAGCAGCACAAGGTCACCTCAGCTCAGGTCAGCCTTGCCCTGCATATCCACTCTAACTCGTGATTGGGCCTCCCCTCCCCTTTTCAATTTCCCAATAATTTCCGCATGTGGACTTGGGGGGTGATTAATTAACAATAATAACCGCCCAAATTAACACCGTCGTCCTTCAATAGACACCGGTAGTGATAGGAGGAGGAGGAAGAGGAGGAATCGTACTTAGTCACAGACAGGTGCTGTACTATACTATACTATACTATACTGTACCTCGTACAACGGTGCTGCTCTGATGCTCTGATGCTCTACTATACCACTGTCCTACACCGAGTACTCCTCCCCAGTCACCCACTCTCTTCCTTCATACGCTCTTCCTACACTCACCATCATCGTTCTCATCGTTCTCACCGTTCCTCATCTCCCGCCCCCTCTCCCCAACTCACCTAAACAATCTCCAATCTGGACCTGTCCCTCTGTCAATCTCCAGGTTCACCACTCCAATCTACCCTACCAATCTACCCTACCAATCTACCGCGGCAAATCTCAAATCTCAAATCCCACAAAGGTATGCATGCGCAATTGCACACGCGATCCACCCCGTGGAGATGGCTTTCAGATGCGCCTCAGATTGCTTCCGTTGCCTTCTGATGGCGTGTGTGCCACGTTTTTTTAATCTGTTCGGAAACTCTGCTCGTCACGGGCCATCTCCCAAGGAAATAGTCTGGTCTGCGGCCCCTCCCAAAACATCGAATTTCTACCAGCCTCAGCAATCAATAGTTGAAACAAATCTGCGGAATCTGCCAAATCTGCCCGTTTGTCAAACACAAAAAACCATGTGGATGTATGTGGTGTACCGAGTAAATTTCCCACCATAGATTAATGGGACGCTCTGCTCTGCTCTGCAATGCTAGGAATATATATATATAAGTAGATCAACCTCCACCACTACATGACCGTCTCCCTGTCTCTCTCTCTCTCTCTCTCCCTCCCCCGCTCCCCTCTTGTCACCTCCCCAAACAAAACATCCCTTGTGCTCGCAAGGTCTCGCGCCACTTCCTTCTCGATCTCGCCCACCCTCGACATCTTGTGTGTCAACGCCGTCCACCCCAAATCCGCTCAATCCCCTTCCTCCCAGCGTTGATATCCATCAACTGCTCTCGATCTTGCCGCCGTTACCAGAAAGACCAAATTTGTCCCCCATGCCCCCCAAAATATTCCTTGGGAATCATGCTGGATATATGCGAGACAACACAAAAAATTAATTCGCCCCGTGTGTCTGTTCAGACTCAGGGGACTTGGATTTCCTTTTTCGGTCCAAGCACGAGACAACTGTTCGCCCATCACTCGAAGGGCAGAGACAGTGTCCAGGATCAGCAGCTTGGAATGTTTCTCATCCAGGCTGAAATGTCCTCAGTTCATGCTTTTGTAGCTTCCACGAAACCCGCAAAAAATTCGACCGAACGCACAACCCAACAAAATATCCCCTATCCAAAACCCCCAATTGGTGAAGAAGCAAAAAGTCGTTGCTGACACATAACCACATGACTAGACAATCTGGAAAATAAATGACCAGGCAAAAGTTGCACGGAAATCAAGAACTGAACAGACAGCAATCCACGCTATCAGACAGCTGGCAGCAGCCCGGGGCTGCGCACACACTAACAAGAGATATCCATATGTAACAGGTGATAAAAAAGGATCAAAATAATGATGAGCGCCGTCCCGACAGTGCTGAGAAGTATTGAGATTCAATTTGTGCGAAAAGGCGTGTTTCCAAGTGTTAAGATTCTAGGGGAGGCATCAAGGTCATGTCAAACTGATACAGGGAAGGTCATCCGGTGGGTAGTTTTTTTTTCAGTGATGGAGACCAGCTTGTAGGGCGTGGGGGTCCACGGTGCCAAACGGCGTCATCGGCATGTCCATGTGTTCGCGAGGCGTGTGGAAATCTGACATGTCGTTCATCAACAGCATGCCATTCTCATCCAGCCCTGGACTAGGCATGGGCATGTTGAGATTCTGCTTCGAATACATCTCCCCCAGCATCAACGTCTCGTCCATCATGCCGTGCGAGTTGAACATGTCTGCCGATGCGCTTCGGTGCAAAGCTGACAACGGTGGCGAATGGTCGGCAATTACAGGGTCCGGATGGCCCATGTGTGGCATAGGTGACACTGAACTAGGCATCATCGTATGGTCAACCATGGGAGAAGGTGACAAGAATGGCGCGCTGAATTGCTGTGGCGTCCCAAACTCAGATGTGGACATGGGCGGTTGAGCGGGGTTCGACGGGAAGAAGCCAGGGCTGGCAAATTCCGACGGTGATGTAGCTGTGGCAGACATGGGCATCTGACGGAAGTCCATGCCATATCCGGCCGATGTATCGATCTGCAGCGTAGGTCCAAGAGGAGCCTGGACAGGGTGTTGTGGCATGGGCTGGAACAGGTTGTGCTGATCGGGCGCCATTTGAGGCGAGGGCTGTTGAATATGGAAAGTTGGCATGGGCCCGTGGAGCATGGAAAAGTCAATGGCAATGGGCACAGATCGACTTCTCTGTCGCTTGTGGCCCGCATGCATCCGTCCGGGGTGAAGGTGATGCTGCACGCCGAATTGTTCCTGGAACATTCCGACATGAGGAGGCTGAGGCCGCGCGAATTGGACGTTGGGTTGAGACGCGGGCCGCACGATCCCCATGTTGGGCGACACTGGTGCAGAAGCAGGCATGGCATTGATGTCGAATGGGTTCAGTCGATTCTGGAAAGACTCCAGCGAGACTAGTTTGGCGAGTTGGCCACTCAGCACCTTGGGATGCCCTCCGAGGTGGTGAACCAAAATCTGAGAAGCTTGCTGGTCCTCGGTAAAGTCACCACACTGGTAGAAGCCTCCCGAGTTGGAGGAGTCCATGAAGAAATTGGGTGGCCTGTTCAACTCAATGACAAGGCCCCCTGGCCTCGGTGGAGCTCCATTGGCAGTGGGCGCCGTGTCACCGGGTTCCAACTGAATGCTCTTGATGAAGGCAAAGGGGAATTCGATCTTGTAACCAGCCGAGTCGTTGTTGATGTAGTATGTGATGCAAGCCTTGTCGGGCGAGTAGAAAATGACCAGATCCATGGCGTTCTGGCCGACTCGTCGCCAAGTCCCGATGCTCAACGATCGACAGGTGAAATGTTGGATAACTGTCTCTCCGTTAGCACATTGACAAGCCTTCCGCTTCGTTCGGGTCTCAACATACCAACTTTGCCTTGAGCGCTGGGATCACCATTCATCAGCATAGCTCCGCCACCGTACTGTGCCATTGGCCCGCCTGGTCGCAGTAGCTGCCGAGGAAATGGTCTTCCGGATTCCATGGCCTGCATGGCCAGCAGCTGTCTCAGGGATTCGGGGATATTGTCCAAATCCTCGCCGTTCTCCAAGCTCTTCTTCGCAAGCATCTTTATCTTGGCGCGGCGACGACTAAATCGAAAAGTCAGCATCAAACGCGTCTCGATCGCAATCATTCATCGCCCTACCTGTTCTGGAACCAAATCTGGACGGAGCGTTCGGTCATGTTGATCTCCTGTGCGATACGTTCACGCGTGGCAGCTGTGGGAGTGGGATTCTTGTTGAATTCCATCTCCAATGTCACCAGTTGATCTTGTGTGGCCCTTTGTCTCTTTTGGTTCTTTTGTTGCTGCGTCAGAGTGCTCTTGCGAGGCGGACGGCGAGCAGCCGATGAGGATCCCTGAGTGTTTGAGCTATTCGAGTTCGCAGGCGTGGTCTGCGTGTGTTGACTGGCATTGGGGGAGGGCGTGGATTCGACCGAGACATCGAGGTCAAGATCTGCCGGGTCCGACAAAGAGTCCATCGCGTCCATTGGGTCGACCTTGATGTCAGGGTTACCCATGGTGAAATATTTGGTTGTCTCTTCAGCCTGGTATTTCACTCTGGCCGTATAAAATAGATTGATTTGCTGGGAGGCAGAGTATAGTATAGGGTAGGGGACACGTTGCTTCGTTAGGGCGGGAAGAGATTGTCAATTGCTGAACCGAGCAGCGAGAGAGAAAGTGACTTCGTGGCCCAGCGAGTTCGACGACTTCAATGCTCGTTCTCTTGAAAGGGGTGGGGTTTTTGGGTAAAGACCGTCTTTGGATTGGAGCGAATGGGAAAAATAGAAGCAAAGAGCTTAATGAATGTGGTTCGAGGGCCTTGAAGGAGTGAAAGGCACAACTCGAATGTTGAGGATTGAACAACAAGAGAAGGAAAGAACGTGATACAGAGGGATAGAAGAATGGTAGGAATGGGTAAAAAGCGACAGTGAGGATGGAAGGGGAAAAAAAGAGACGGACGGAAAGACGAGACGAGAGGAGCAGGACATTAAGGGAGGGCAGCAGGGCCCGCGCGCGCGGTGAGTTCCAGTGCCCCCGGAGGAAGCGGTAAAGAAGGCCCAGCGGCGGCTGCTGAGTGGTCAGGCAAGCACTTCTGGGCCTCTCGGACGCCCAGGAACTATACCCCCTGTCCCCCCAAGCTCTCTTTAAGCCCAAGACCAATGCAGGAACACGAAAGGCCCCAAACTCAAAAGCCGCACGGGCCCCCCCTGGTTGTGTCGGCGGGTCGTGTCCTTTGACGGGTCTAGCAGTCCCCGCTAGCTGAAAAGGGCGTCATTAACTCCACTGACGCCTCGTTCTGCACCCAGAATCTTACATGGCGTCTCTAAGCGTCTCCTAAGCGTGCCAAAGAACGTATCCACTACGCCTTGATCAGACTAGCGTGACATCCAAAGACACCTTGTTTGTACCGACCGCCAGCTTGTCGCGCCGAATCCCCTGGAGGGATTTGCCAGCTCCATGTCTGACGCGCCCCAAGGAAAAACACACCCCCAGAGACGCCAGGGAAGCACCAGAGGATCAGTCAAAACACCCCATGTCACAACATGGATTCATGCTGGCTGTCGTGCCGTCTCACCCCTTCAGGCCAGGGCTGCCAGGCTATTGAAAACCCTCGGTCGCGGTTCCTGATTCGCTCCCCGCCGGTATTGTTCCGACAGCGTGCCCGGCACCACGGAGTTGCACACAAAGCAGCCAGTGCTCGACCATCAGATGCTGGAGGGGACCCTTTGGATACAGGACTCTCACATGAGCAATATATTTTTGGTGCTAAAAGAACGGTCGAGCCATAAGTCATGCGTTGAGTACAACCACCACCGAGTTGAGGGGATTTCAATTTGCTATCCGCTGTAACGCTGCTGGGACGCGTCTTGAGACACGAGACTCCCGCTTCACTGCAGCCTCCAACCTGATAACCTGTACATGCGAGTAGTTCAACATGAGATTTCCCCGAGCTTTTCGTCAGTGCTGTACGAGTACTCGATAGACCCATTGTCATTCGTGCAGCTAGCACGCTGTGTTTCTCAGGAAAGCGGGAGATCCTATCGAGCTCACCCTTCGTATTCCATAGGCGATGCCGTTGCCACCGAGGGCTGCGATCGACCATTGAAACCAGGTCATGAGATGCTTCTCGAAACAATTCGTGCGGATGCCAACCAGTCTGGTGTCCCATGCCGGATCATGTCTGATTCATGTAGTCTGTGCACCGTTACGATGGCACCAATGACGCGAGGAGACGAACTCATGTTCTTGAAGCTTTTGCACAAAGGCACGTCCTGGACAATGATTGGCCACATCCGGCGAGGTCTTCATCTCTGCACAACACCCTGCTGGCAGTTATGATTCGCTACAGAACAATCGGACATGCTTCTAGGCTTCGGAGGGTCGTCATGATGTGCAAAGTGGTTGTTGAATCTGAACTCGTCAGGCCGGCAGGAAGTCGATGTGCCAGTGGTCTCACACATTACATTGGACAGCCTGCTGAATCTAACCGTGGGAAAGAAAGCCAGTAACATGCAAGAAAGGTGGCAAAAATTCCCGCGCCAATGCCTGTCTCAAATAATGGTGCGAATCTGCACCTAGCCAGTGTTTCTTGTTGTGCAAGTTCTGGTGTGCTCTTCATTGGCCACTCCGCCAACGACAAGGCCATGACATGTTGCACATGCCAGAGGTGGTCCATGGGACGATCCTCCTGAAGGTCCAAGCCGGTCGAATGCTCCAGCACATACCCGGACCCTGCTGCCTGCATAAGGTGACATGGATATTGAGACCGCCAAAGTGTACTTGCTACCCTCGTATTCGGCTCACCCCAAAGCCCGCTGCCTGCTGTCGCCACAATGATTTGCTTTTACGGAAAATGGGCGGATAAAGGAACCATGGTCAGTGGCGAGACAGCTTCTCTGAGTCCTCGGTACTCGTAATCCGAGCCTGTTGCCCTACAAATGGATTCGTATACTCGTACACCCATGTATGCCCATGTCTTTCTGGCTTATGGACCATGTGTATTGCGTTCCCAGATATCCGCTTTCCCCGTGGCATTGAGACTCGAGAGCACGAGAAAAGAAGGTTCAAACCACGATCTAGTGGACGCGATAAAGTCGAAATGGTTTGCGACCTTCGATAAGAAACAGATAGGGGTCGGAGGTTTGCGCAATGCACACCAACCAAATTGAGGCAGAAGGCCTGGAGCGATGGCGGTGGTCTGATGAGGCTAACCCTCGTGAAGTGTGGCAGGTGCTGCAAAGACGAAGCAGCTATACCGCAGAGGGATGTTGGCATGATGCTTGAAGCTTTCCTTCTCTTGGGCCGTTGATGTGGCACCCACGCTGTCGAGCCGCCTGCATGGAACAGTCCCAAGCCCATGAGGATCTAGTGCTGCACGAGACATGGGGTGGCTTGTTTCTCCTTTACTCCGCATCCTTGTTGTGGCACTTCACAAGGAACTAATGCCAGGTACCCAGCCGCGATCATTGGAGGAACAAAGTCGCCTGGTGGCCGAGCAAAGTGGGCCATCCAGACAAGACCAGCCAGGGATCCAGGATGATACACAAAGGTCCCCCCCCCCCTGATGCCGCTACCCAGACTGATAAACCTTCAACGGTGAACAACGGCGAAGGAGAGAAAAACTCTTCACCACGTGTGGAAAAACCGTTACTCTTGTCTGGAAGAACCTTATTTTGTCACAAGCAGCAGACCAACCTAGCGACGACTGAGGAGGGTAAGGGAATATCGAGGAGAAATTCGGTGGTCGGTTTGAAGAGGATTTTCGGTAGGAGGCATCGAGGCATCTCTCCCGCAAGCGCAGTCAGCTCTGGGTGTTGAATGATACGAGGACATCAGCCGATCACCCCCGTTCAGCCGGGCGGCAATCGAGGCGAAGGAGAAGCAACCTCGACCAGGCGGGTCCATGGAGGGTGAAACACCCAAAGAAAAGAGCCTCCTTTCTCCTTGTGGGTGTCACGTTGGAAGCGAATCCCTGCCAAGGGGGACCTCGCTTCCCCAATGGCCGGTGGATGTTTCCTCAAACGCACTCGACCCAAAGCTTCCCTCTTCCTCATGCTCTTTTGGTGCCTCCATCCTTTTAGTTCTTTCGTGTACCTTTCCTACTACGCTGTCTTGGCCGTGTCGTCTCAGACAAATCCCTCAAGACTTATCGCATGGGCGACGATCACCTCAGTCAGCGTCCGCCCCGGTCGAGGAGGCGTCCAGGTGTCGAACAGAGAGTCGATTCCTCCAGCAGGATGGGGCGCAGGTGCTTGTCCCCCTATACGGAGCACAATGTCTCACCTCAAGCCCCATCTTAGACCCAAAGCAGGCATTCCACTCGACGATACCGATTCTACCTCATGCACGGAATCGATAGCACGAACCCCCCTGTCTGTGACTGCGGAATACGGTGAAGAGAAAGATCTACGAGGTACCAAATACAGGGACACGAATATGGAGTAACAATATGACAAGGTGGACGAATTCCCCGTATATTTTCATACCCGATTGCTCCCTATATGCATGCCCTCTCAAGTTAATTCATGTTCCAAATCCTGGTCGCATGTTCCGTCATAATTCAGTGCTCAAAAGCGCTGTACATTTCATACTCATTTCTAATCCAGTCCCTCAAAAGCCGTCCTGGGGGTATCTTGGTCGTCACCCATGTCTCTATCGTAGTAACTCCTGGCTCCTGCGCACTGCGCCAAACCCCTTGCTGAAAAGTTCGCCGATATCGATTGACTTTCGTTGTTGCGATAGCTGTACTTCGCTCATTTCGTGACTGCTTGCTTCTCGGTGATTCTGTGGTCTTCTGGTCCGGGGCTCTGCTTTGGTGCTGAGTCCCGAGTCATTCCTCCTCATGTTGGGTTTTCGCCTGTCCATCATGTCTCGAGGCTTGTTCAACAGCTCTTGGACCTGTGCCTCCCGTTCGGCTTGTTCGGCCGCCTCTCGGGCCAATTCCAGGCTGGATTTCTTGGTCCCTCTGTCCCAACCCTGTTGCAGGAGATCTGCCGCAGCCTCTTCAAACCGCTTGCGAACCTCTCTATCCTGTTCAAATCCTTGGAAGACGTCCACGTCGCTAGGCCACACCGCCGCGCTGATCGCTTTGATGATTACTTCGAGCAGACACACAGCCGAGATGGTCCAGAGCAGTGTGATCCACCAGAGAAGATTGCGTCCGAAGCGATCCAGCAGGGCGTGGTTGACACTGTACACCGGGTTGAAAGGGTATATGCTTGACAGAATAAGATTCCACAACCACCATCCACCCACTGACAAGAAGATCGCTATCGCTGCCATTACCGATTTATGGTGCAGTTCGATGAACTGCAACTTCAAAGAGATGATCACGACACAGGCAGTGAATACCAGGGAGCCAAAGGCGTACAGCTCCTGGTCGCGGGTGAACAAGGCGAGGCCGTACATGCCGTAGATCATGAAGTAGACAAGAACTGCTTCACATACCGCCAGTGCAGACCACCTCAGATAGATCCAGAAGTTGAATCCGCGGTCCCGTTGACCGTAGTTGTAGAGT